TTATAATGATTAAAAAAGCAATCCATAAGTACTTTTCAAATGATCGATCTCTTCTTTTTTCTCGATACAGTGTTATGTTCGTCTTTAACCCTGACTCAATAGGAGGATATTATAAGTTTGACCTGTACGTCTGTGCGTCTGTCTATAGCACCGCAGCTCTTGGAGTAACGAACCAATTTGAATGTGGCTTTTTGTTATTCGAAAGCCTTATTTATGATATGGTTCTTAAGTAAAGTTTTTTTGTCGCGCAAGTTATATTGAAAGTCAAAAAGAGCTAGATTTCATTAAATTTATGTTTATTTCGGCGCAGATTGATGCAAATCTGTCGAGAGATCAGTTACGAGGTAAACATTAGTACGTTCAACGGCCTGACGTATCATAGGAAGAGTTTGCTAGGTTAAATGTCGTGTTATATATTTCGTCAGTTCTAACGTTCCGTGTGTCCCGTCAGATATACACCGACTCTCACAGTCTTATTATAAAGCTAGGACTAATTTTAGCTCCAGGTTTAAACAATTATCAAAATATGTATTTTTATTCTTGTCTTTATACGTAAAGACGTATAAAGGCCACACTAACTACACTAAGGTGACATTGGTGGAATTACGTAAAAAACGTAAACGCAAATATTCCATACATTAAAAAAAAAACTGAAGCATGCAAATTCATAGACAAACTTTGCCTATTTAAGCAAGTGATTAATAAGGTAATTACCTAACGTCACAGGTTTGGTCAAACAACAAATCTGCTTATGCTATTCTTAATATTAAGTGATTTCTAATTAAGCTATGCCTTGTTCTTGGTTAGTGAAAACGGGCATCAGTCTAAGGCAACATGCTTTCATGCAATAGAAAAAGATAGAATGACAGAGATAAAAGTTAACACAACTGTAGTCATTAAATCCATTACTCATGTTTGTAAATTCCATTGTGCATGGCACATTATTCATATTTATATCATAGTATCGTCTGCTGTGGTATGCATCAATGTTGTAATAAGCATTAACTACATTTATCAGAAAAACACTGATTCACGATAGCAAACATACAATATTTGGAAAGTGATAAAACAAAAGTATAATATTAAGAGTTAAATAAATAGTTGTATCACTTTGCTTCCGTAACAACTAAATACTTGAAAAGATACGGAACTTCTATACTTACCATAATAATGTACCACTGAACATAAAGTTACCATTTTAGACTCTACTCTCAATTAATTAAAGTTTAAAATAGAGTGCGAGAATTTGGCAGTTCTGTTATCTGTGTAACCTGACGTGCAGTTGACTGTACTATTTTATAATAATAATAAATATCACATACATTGTTCAGATCTAAAATTAAGTGACTTAAGCACTTGCATTACAGAGGTCTGCAACAATGAAGGTACCACTACAGGAATCGAACCCGTACTAAGATAAGAAGAGAAAATTAGCGACACCTTGAGAACGGCATGCGAGCCACTCGGCCACAAATTCGGCGATCTCTACTATTATCATAAATAGGAAAGCACTTATTTTAGCAGTCCTTATGAACCGGCAGGATTTTCGCACAATCGTGGGTACCATAACAGGACATGACTCACTCAACAAACACCTCCAGCCTATGAGTATCACAGACAGTACTCTTTGCAAGTGTGTATGTCAACAGAAGAAACCATCATTCACACAATCCTTGAATGTGAGAACTTGGCAGCACACCAGGTACACATACTATCCAATCCAAACACACTGCAAAGCCTTTTGTCTAGAGTACGACAGCCAACTTTTTATGCACAATGGACAGATGAAAGCATCTAATTGTAAGTGCAGGAAATTACAGCTTTCTAACCTAACTTAATCTAGTCCACTTCTTACACCTAATGCTTTGAACTCCTTCTAAATTCCATTGCAACAAAATCTATAGGATATTTTCTAACTTCAAAATTACTCATATGCTTTTCAGCTGTTCTTAAAGACTGAAAAGAAAATGAGATGAAATCAGTGCATCTGTCGATAAGACAGATAGGGACAGAGGAAGCATACAAATTATTTAAATAAATTACTTGAAAACACAATTCTGTAAATTTTTACTATTTCTTTCAACAACACTAATTGAAAGTTATGGGTTTTGGTTTAGGTGCTCTTTCGAATTCATATGAAGTTTCATTATTTTTAAATACAGTATTAAAAAATAAAAAAATCATATTTGTGATTACATACATGTACTAATGGATGTTTACATAATAGACATAGATATTGTTCTCACTAAATAAGCCACAGTGAGAAAATAAACAGTTAAATAATTATGCTAGACTGGTTCAGAAACAATGTTACTTTCTGTTTTTAGTGAAAGTATGAAACTGTTTTTATAATGTTGAATACACTGTTTAATTGTAATTATGTTATAATAGTGAGGATATGCTGTCATCTGTTAATTAGTATGTAATAATAGATTATAAAATGAAGACCTTTCTATTATATTTGACCGATTATGCATTCACAATGGCATATGATAAGTAGTGATATATATTTTTTTTATCCAGCCCCAGATACCCCGAAATGGCTACCCAACAGAATCAACAAATATTTCAAGCACTTATTACTTTTCAAAAGTCAGCACAGAGGGCAGAATTAGCACATTCAGTAAATTAATCATGTAGTCTGTCATCATGTTATGGTAAATAATTACGTAAGTGAGTAAATAAATATAAATAATTTGAGAAAAAGTATCAAATTATAATAGTTTTCTTAGGGCTTGTTTCTGTATTGAGAAATGTACAATCTCAACTGGTTATATCAATAACTAAAGTTTTTTACTATTCACAAGGCAAAAGTCCTTGTTATTATCAAACTGTTATCAAGTGGTCATTAAAAAAACTAATATCAGAAACCAAAACCTGTTAATGTACAGTTTGAGACATGCTTAACTTTAAATACTCAATTCTGAAATAAGGTATTATGCCATGACTCAAAATCCTGTATTATTAGGGTTTAAAATATATATTTTTTTATAATAATCAAGATATTTTATTTTAATGATTATCTGATAATTATCTGTAGATACTGGAAACAATTTTTAAAATACAGAAAGGCATCTATAAATTTTTAATCTTTTATTTTTGTTGCTTTAAATTATGAAAAAAAAACACTGAAATCACACTAGAAGTAAAATAAAATGAAAATATTAATAAATAAAAAACAATTAAATATTATTTATAAAAAGGGGCCTTATAATATTATTATTATTAGATTTTTATAAAAAGAGTTTGTGTATTATTTTGTAATCATTTATCAAGATAATTATCAGGATAATTAACACTCCAAACCCTATGTATTAATATGACATTCTATGGCTGAGAATAATAATAAATTATGTAACACAGAAGAAAAGTTTTTTTGGTACATTTTACATTTTACAGTACACACATCCATCTAGATACAAAACAATATATAATAAAATCATTTTCTATCATCTGTGAGGCATCATTTTCTATCATTTATGTCAAAATTATTTGATATTATTATAATTAAAAAAATACATTAAATGTTCTCCTATTTGAATATATTATAATGGTATAATGTGTGCACTGTGTTATGTTATATGATAGAGATAATTGATGATAGAGCATGACACTTTTACAAATAATCAATATAAAAAGTAAAATATTACAAGGCTGTGACAAAGTTAATTAGTTGAATTAAATCATGTTTGACTTAATAACTTTGTAAACTATGCTAATTGACGATAATTCAACGCGGCATACCCGCTACTGCTACAAAAAACCTAATAAAACAAATGCACGTTTTTTTCTTTCATGACTCATTGATCTGATCCTCATATTGAGAGCAGATGTGATACCGTTTTACTGTAAACAAATGTTCCAATACAGTTGACAAGCGCGATTAATTGAAAAAGGGTAATAATTTGAATAGTACTACTTACTTGGAAAAGTAGGCGTAGGATATAATGACAAAACCAAGTCTGAATGATGAAGAATACTGGAACGCAGCAACAATCCGTAAATACACCACCAAACAGAGAAGTCACATCACCATACACCCACGATAACAACCTTTCTCGTCCATTTTGAGCGTTAATTTTTATTTATATTATTTACATTTCCATCACATGTTATCATCTACAACTATTTTTACGTATATCGTAGGGAAACACAAAAAAAATACAAAATATAAATTATAATGGGCACCACGCATCACTCGCGGCTAGATAAAATGACAGGATCTACTCATGAGATGATTTTATCAAGCAACTAAAGATAACATAGATTTATTGCAACACAAGGAACAAACGGACACAGCAGGACACAGACAACGGCGCTAGAAAAGCTTCGAACTTCAAGTTGGTTGAAGTAACACGTGGTGTTGCAAGCAATTAGTTTTAGTTCTCTACCAAACACAGTGTATTTGTTTGCTGTGACATTATAAACTTTTTGACTATGACCAAACTGTATAATAAAGTGTTTATTTGCATTCATATCTCCTTCTAACAACAATTAATTCTTCGTGCACCAATATGCTGTATGCACTTAATGCATGATGCATTTTCTATCACTCAAGCATAGGGTGAAGTGGAGAAGAATAAGTATTGCAGTGCACAATCATAAACAATATAAGGCCTGGAATTAAGGCAGAAAAAACCCCGGGTGTTACAGGTGATAACTTTAAAACCTTAACGATAAAAAATACAAATTACATTTTTTTTTTCGCAGCACCATTTTTCAGAACAATTTATCTCAAATGCTGGAAAGAGAGAGCGCCTCTATCAAGTTCCATCAGGTCGAAAAACTCGTAGATCTGTCCAACCCAACGCATTATATTTAGCAATCGATTGGAGAAAGAATCATGTCCACTTTCCATACATTGATTGGCCTATCACATGTATTTTTAACGTCCACGTCTGCCTACCATTAGTGATAATATTTAAAGGTCGTATCTACATGACCTTTAAAAACACATGTGACAGGCCAATGTAGGGAAAGTGGACATGATTTTTTTCCTTTTGGCAGAATTTACACAAAAATACTACTATTGTAGTAGAAAATAATAAGCCCATAATTAAGCTCTGTTAAACTGTAAAAATCATAGATATGAGAAATTGAGGTTGTTAATAAAAACTGTCTACCGTGTATTAATTTGGAATAATGTTAAATGTATAAAACCTTCTTTTATAGTATGTAAGCAAGTAATATTAGCACTTCTACATAGATGTACTATTCTGGAACATTTTGACCTAAACAAATTAAAATGTAAAGTATAATGAAATAAGTTTCAGTAATTATTTTTGGAGTATGTTAGGTTATTTTCTACCGTAACTTCAAATTTAATATAGGACGCGCGTATAAAAACACAGAAAGAGACGCACCAGTAGCTTGTTATCCCTCAAAGCAGTGTCCCTTAAATGAAATTAAATAATACCACTATTTAAATTCGCATATTTTATTATAAAAGCTTCACTTAAAATTAATATATACAACAATCGCGGCAGACTGAAACTTTCAAACCAGAAAGGAACTCTAACAACATTTTGAGGTTATGTTTATCTTGTTGAGACTGTTGCTTCTTTACGAGCAGCATCTTGAAGAAGCTGGGTATCCACCTCGTCTGCCGGAAGTTGTACGTATCGGACGACAGATCCACGTATAAAACAATTCTTCACAGACAACATATGAGGATATTTGTCGGGATCTATAACACTTATTTCTGACAACTTAATATTTAGATATTGATCCACAGAATGAAGTGTCCCGCATATACTCAGATCATTTTTAAGCTCCACTACTACATCTTTTCCCACTAAGGACTTGAAAAAAGAATAAAATAACATTCTTTTTTTACTAATTAAATATTAAAGCGTAAAATTAAAACTCGATCGCTTCCCAAACACAAATAAACGTCAATCTCAATGTCAGTGTCAAAATATGTTATAGGGACTGACCTGTGTCGATCGCGATTGATCGAATCATTTCGATTCAATCTTAAACTGTAAACGAGTCTTCGAATCACGCTTTTTTAAAAGATTTGATTATTTGACCCGCTACCTACGTAAGCCAAATTGCACTTTATTATAATAACGGTATTGTATGTAACTGATTGCTCGCAAACAAAATGATTGAGTCTTCTGCGAAGGTGATTCAATATATCTATCTGTTTCGTTTACTTACAAGTCGTGTTCGTTCGCTCTTATTCTTTTTCACGAGGGGTGGAATAAACCGGTTTATTGCGGTTCACCGGTGTGACCTGCGCCCGCGAGAACTGATGATTGTAGTTTGTAGATCGCGAACGATTGCACCGGTGACACGCGTTTAAGAGCGTCGCGCTTTATTCAGGTTTTAAATATTTGGTGTTAGTTTTTTATTAGATTATTTTAAATCAAATTAACATAATATATCCATTAGATTATTAGCTAAATCAAATTAAGCTTTTTTTGTGTTTGTGAGCTTTTTAAAGTTTATTTGTGTTTGTGTGATTAAATTTGTTTTGGTTTTGGCATTAACCTTATAATTTAAATGTCAGATATATAAAATAAACAAATAAATATCAAATAAACTATTATGTTCCCGAACCACTTAAAGTATTTGGAAATATTGTTTTAAAAACATTTCTACATTCATTTTTAGAGGCGGTGCCTGCCGCGGATTACAGAAAGGGAGTATCGCAAGGGATAAAATTTCTGGAGATATTATCCAATGTTAATGACTACCTCTTCGTTAAGGACAGCATGATCAATGATATGTTGCCTGAAACTCTAAATGAAATTTTTATTTTAGATATAATTTAATAATGTTTTTAGAATCCGAAATCTAATTACTTATTTTAGATAAGCGTTGAATTTATAATAACAATATTTTAGGATTTTGAAATTCAGTTTCATTTGAAAACATGATAAACTTTTAAACAAATCTAACGATCATTTACATTTTAGCCTATAGTGTCAGTCATAAATATTTATTGTATTAAATTCTCACGGTTTTCGGTTATCCATTTTTGAATATTAATTTAAAATTATGAAGTTCTTAATAGAGTAAAATTTTCTAAGTATTTACATTTCATTAAATAAATCATATTAAAGTTCTCTGTTAGCGTTCTCCATGACAACCCTTTCGGTTTTCTTTCATGTTTAAAAGAAAATTAGTGTTCGAAACTCAATAAACAACAGATATTCTATTTGTACTTTTTCATTACAAAAGAAATACTTCCTCATTACAAAGTACTGTCAGCTAGATTCTCGTTTACAATGTAATATGCTTTAGCTACTAATAATTTACAAAGTTTTCTTTTAAAAACATTACAATCATCCAGATTACGTATAGTTTTTGGAATTTTATTAAACATTTTTGGAGTCATTTAAAGATACTTTTGTTCAACAGAGGGTCTTAGAGGATATCATACGCAATCTCGTCTTGTTTTCAAATAATTGTTGATTCTGTTTGTCAAAAATACCAACTTCGAATATATAGATTGATGGCAGAGTCATAATATTTAGATTAATAAAATGTGGCTTACAGGTATCCGTACTCTGTATATGACATATGCTCATAACACATTTTTTCTGGTCTCTAAAGGCAGTTACAAAATCGGTCAAATATCCCCAAAATAAAATGTCGTATCGAACAGTAGAAATTACGTACGCGTGATAAGCTGTAAGGACCGTGCACTGATTCGCGATCCTACTAAATTTGTACAGTGCATAAGAATATCAGTCTTTCACGCTTAAACATCCCTGACAACCAAAATAACTATTTATTACATTTTGGTATTTCTTAACTGATAATTATTAAATTTGTTACGATTATGTCATTGTATTATATATAATGAAGAAAACAATTATCGTTTTTGTCGTGAAATCTTTTGAATCGAAAATCGTCTGAATCGATCGTTCGTTGATCTGTGACAAACCCAAAGATGCAAGTTTCATAAAAAAATCGATTTTGATAGATATCGATATATCGCTGCACATGCAAGTTCTGGTACTGTAAGTTCAGCAAACAACTAATAGTAGCAAAAGTAACTTACCTAATTGATATTGTTTTCAGATTTTTTGTTAAAAATTATTATGAAAAATTCCTAGAATTATTATGGCATAAGTATTTTATTTATAAAAACTATTTCACGGTAATATTATTGCATACCGTAGCTAAATGACACTTTTAATAATTTCACAGCATTAATTTTATTGATTGCCATAACTTTTAAAAAACCTTCTCTATGCTCACTTTCATTATGTTAGTTTCCATTTTCCTTTATACAAATAAAAAAATATATATTCAGGGATTAGTTCGTATTAATCCAGTTGCGTTAACGTAACTCTAATTAATTGAAGTTCAACTCGATATAAATCAGAGTTATCAGATCCATAACAACACTGACAATTCTATAGATAGTCATTTACGTTCCCTTTGCTAACATATTAAAAAACTGAAATTAGCAAAGTTGGAAACTTAGATATTAATAACAATACGAAAAAGTACAAATAGAATATGAGTTGCTTATTAAGTTTTGAAAGTTAATTTACTTTTATACATGAAAGAAAACCGGAAGGGTTGTCATGGAGAAATCAAGAAAGTACCGTAGCGGCACATCTAATTTGATTTCGAGTATGTTCCGATATACACTGCGACCACTGAACAGTATGACGTCAATTTAGTATACGGGAAGCCCGTTCCTTTATAGCTAGTTATACTGGTGACTTTTTAAAACGGAACGCAGTCCAGTATACTGTTAATCCTATTTTTGGCGCCATTTTCAAATTTGTTAATGCAAGATGAATATAAATATAAAGATTCCCTCTTTTCAAAAGAAAATATTATAAAATTGGAAAATTGTATAAAAAAAATATTTATCAATCAAATCTATCTTATAATAAACGTAAGTATTTTATTTTATCTGTTTCGACTGATCACGTGGTCAAAAGCACTGCGAGCACTGCACCTCGAAATCTCCAGTGCCCACAGTACAAATATGGCGGCAATTTATGACGTCATAAATTTCCCTACGGTACCGTAGCAGTATACTGGCAGTCCATAACGGAACGGATTTTTCAGCAGTAAGACCACTGCGCAGTGCTCGCAGTGTATATCGGAACATACCCTTCAAGAACTAATGTTTTTTTAATACTTCCTCATTAAACGGTAGTTTCTTACTCTATTATATCATGTATAGGGTTCGAATTATCGGCTTCTGGTATCGATACTTAGTACTCATGTGGTATCGAGGGACATGGTATCGATGCCATAAGGGCGCTTGTGCACCACACTGAATTTTCATGTTCGGTGGTCCGATATGTCAGGCCATATATAGGTAATGCTAGCCTGTGCACTGTCAGGAATTTTACCGTCCGGGATTTTACTTTTCTCTATTCCGGACCGGTTTTTTCAGTTCCGTGATGGCGGCAATGAAAAACGTGTTTACGCTTGTGCGCTGCTGTGTCCGCGATCCGGAATATTCATAAGGAATAGGCTTGGGAAAAAATAATCGATTTGTGTATAATCGATATTTATTTCGGCGATATTGTTAATTTCCAATAAACTTATAATTGATATTTATTGTAGATTATAAAATGCTATATTTTATATGATGATTTAATATAGTTGGTTAATATCACTACACATGCTTTGGCAAACTCAGTATAGTTCTAATTTGATCAGCGTATGGTTCTAGTATCGAAATTTGTCATTACCAAATTTTTTTTAGACTATTGATAAGTATAGATAAATGTTTGATAACAGAAGTAATAACAAAGAATATACAGAAGATTAACAGAAGTAATTAAGTGAACTCAATGTCTTTTTCGCATTTAATAAAATCTGAAATGACTGTTTGTGTCATAAATAAATTTAAAAAAAAGAAGTATTCTAAGGGAAAAATATTTCTGCTCAAAGAAACTACACTACGCGTATAAAATTATGCCTATAAATAATACATATATAGTCAACTAATATAGTCAACTGTTCTCGTAAAGTTCATTTAGCATATTAATTCTTCGCTTACACGGTACTAATTTCGATTTGTTTACGAAATAGCGCCACTGATTGGTCCATCTCTGTAATCGTTTAAAGTTGTTTTTACAAACATTCGAAAAAAAATAGCACGTTTGTATGGGCACTTTGGCTTTGAGTGGACATTATCTATAGTTATAAAAAACGTTATTTTTTAATATTTCATGTCTTAAGGAAGTTAACTATTGTAATATTTTCATGGGAAAGTTTAACATTGTAAATATATAAGCATATGTAGTATTCCATAAACGATGTAACGATAGTACTTTTTTTGTAATACACTTTAATTACCTTATCATCATATTAATTTATTTATGTTAGAAATAACAAACAGAGATGGTTAAATAAAAAAATTGTAGATTTACACATATTTACCTTTAATTTGAAAATACAATTGTACAAGCAAAAGACAGTAAATACACTTATTTATAAGAATAGACTTTCCAAAATCATTTAATAAATAAATTACACTGCTCATACAGTTTCTCTTCAGCTGGAGGCTAGCATTCGGGCAGTCAACGAATTATGAGAAACAAATTCCACATTTAGTAATTCACAAGCTGCTACTAATAGTTTTGTTCATGTTGAACGAGGTATATTTAATAAAGTTGATATTCTCTCATCACTATCCCCAGTTCATAGTTTAATTAAACAAGCAAACAAGCCCTAACTCCCCAATACACATCTCAGATAACCCAGGAAGGAATTTGATTTTAACTGAAGTTTAGACAGACCTATCCAAAAGTGCACAATGTCTTCAGGCATTCCTTCAATGTTGTTAAAATCCATTGTATGATTTCTTTCTTTAACAAATAATGCAAAAGCTTGTATATGTTCTGTAGTAAATGTATGAATTAGTTGCATGATAGACAACCATTCAGTCCAATTATTATAATATAAATGAGAACTACACAGCCTACTGGTTTTTGGTACATAAAAGTTAAAATCAACAAACAATTTTATCCAAAGCCATGTGGGAACTGTCAGTCGCTGTGGTGAGTCACAATCTGGAACACTACAATATGCTTGTGAATCAGGTACTCTTTTAGAATCCGGTAATGGTCTGTGTAGGTTCTGGAATATTAGAAGGAACTGTTACTCTATCTGCTCACTGCCAACAAATGACAGATGCTATCAGATCCATGCACCTAAAAGAGAATAATATATTATTAAATTATTTGTTAACAAAATGTTACTTAAACAATATGGCAGCGATATATTAATGTTATACTTTTCATAAAGGAAGCTTAATTGTAGTAAAGTAATCATAATAAATAAAAATAACTATAATCCTACCAGTCGTGGGGATTTCCAATCAATAATTACATTTCTAATGTGTGTTCCTCTGTCGGATATTGTTTGCAGTAGTTGTGATCTAGTATTTAATATAGATCTTCCACAATTTATACAAAGCTGCCGACGATGTCCACTACTTGTGCTTGGTTCGGTGTCCAGAGGTATAGCCGGGTCATAATTTCGAGAGGTATCGGAGTCCATTATCAATGTAAATCGAGTTCACGGAAATAAATTGGTCTTCTTCTTCTTGATAGAAAGTAACAACAAAATCAAAACATAACCTAGCCGAATAAGAATTATCACTCAAACGTCTTTGTTGACAAAAGTGAAATGGTGTTGCCATATAAAAATCTTTTATCGATGAAAAGTAATCGATTGATTTGTAAATGAACTTATATATCTAACCGAAAAGGATTATTTGTAACGTTTTTAATATTTTGATACATGATATTGCAAAAGATTACCTACTATATATGCATTAATATATATATAACTTTAATTACATTCATTTTAATTAAAGTTAAAACTAATCGATTAATCGATACTATTAGTAATAGTACTTCAATAACATTTATTGATATGGAAACACAGTGCAACATGTCAACAAAACATATCCGAATCCAAAAAATACTTTTAAAAATGATATTTTTAATGTTAAGTTTCCCATGACGAGAGTATTAAAAATATTTTTTTCAGTTTTAATAATATTTTACTGTTTACATAGTTTTTACTAATTAGCTTGCAAGTACTAGACCATTATGAGTAATTTAATTCTAATGTCACAGATATTTTTAGCTTTGTATGTGAATAATGCTGTTCCTAAATTAGTAAAGGTATAAGTTTTTACATCTGATAGTAGTCATCCGATAGTAGTAAAAAATGCTTTCGTCTTGCCATAATTTATTATCGTTTATGAAAAGTGATCAGGTAAATATTTAGGTATCTTTCTACATCTTCGAACGCAATTACCGACGTTCCAAAAATCTCATCGTACCTAGCGTAAGTGACGTGTAGCTTCAAAAAGAGCTGCCCTACACTGCGCCTCTCCGATCAGGAAAAAAACGAACAAGTGCACAAGCTACCCACCCGGGTTTTTCATGTCATTCCGGACCGGAAAAAATCGGATCGCCGGATCTGAAAATTCAGTGTGTGCACAAGCGCCCTTCAAGTATCGCTCCCTAAGTATCGATACTACTCAGTGTCGAGTATTTACAGATAACATTTAAACAATGCCAGAATTTTAGACTTTTTATAGTTCATGCATAGAAAATTGCATAAATTTTCTTTGGACGCAACGAGGAGACGATTGATAAACAAATAAACAGTTTTGCTAAATTATATGGTGGGTAAAATTACCGTAATGAGGAGTATTAAAATATATATATTAAATTAGATACAAAAAGTCAGAGATTACGACTTTTCTCTGAGTAGTTTAAATGAGAACTCAGGTAATAATCAAAATTATTCAATATAATAAAAATAAAACATGTTTTATTTGCTACTTTTATTTTCTGGCTAGGAACTTGCTACATTGCCGTAGATTTTGCTAAGGCAATATAACTAGGTGCTGTAGTTTTCTTTTAAATTATGGCCCTTTTTCATAAGTCATAGCAAATGTCGCATCAGTAGCAACTAGCAACGCTAGAATGAAATACTATACAAAATATTTAAACTTTGTAAGTAAATGGTAATTTACAGATTTTTCTGAAATATGATTATTGTTTTTATTTTCATTCAAATGTTAATGTATTTCTAGGGTTTTTCTAAAAATATATTTTATATGATTGAAGAAACTCGGAAGTACAGATATAGTAATGAGGCCAGATAATAAGAAAAAATGAAAATTGAAAAACCACAGATTAATACTTCCAAATATTTATATAGGTATAGAAGCTAAATGACAACTGTAAATAAGTCGTATTAAACAATACTCGATACCGGCAATTTTTATGAGTACTTTCGATTTATTATAGGCCTTGGTATCGAGTACTTAGTATCGAGAATCGAATTTAAAAATATCGATCCCTACTCGGTATCCAAAGTATCGTTCGAATCCTAATTATGTACTTTTCCCTAATATAATACTACTCTTTGGTCCTGTTGCTTCTATGGTCGTTGTGTGTTTTTATGTTGATGTTTTTCTTTCTGATTTTCCTCTCATAATACCTAATACGTCGTTAATATTTAAAACTTATTTGTTAAGCGTAATAACTTTGATGTAAAATAACAAAAAAAATCAATTCCTAAAAATTATAACCTTCATATTGGACGCCGAAACTTTGTTTCATCCAAAATGTCTTCTGTTGCTGATGAAAACGCTGAAATTGTTCGTATCTTTACAATAATAGTGATTCTGATGATTTATATCACAGACTTACAGAGAATTTTTTGCATCTAGGATTGGGGTAATGAAAGGTTGACTCGAGCGCAACGTGCAGTAGAAGCGAACGTTTACGATGTGGATTCGTGGTCTTTACTAATCAGAGAAGCGCAGACGAGACCCATCAACGAAGTTCGTTCGATGTACGAGAAGTTGATTACGGCATTCCCCACGACTGGCCGTTTTTGGAAAATTTACATAGAACAGGAGGTTGGTGTAATTTATTATTTTAGTTTTCATACCTTATTCTAACTCTGCCAATACAAGATATTTGCACATCAACTTGTCCAGTTTGTTCTGTTCATAAAGTTTTAACAGGTTGACTTTGTTTTATGTTATACTAGCTGTTGTAACTTTACTAGTGAAAACTTATTCTCATTCTTCACTCACTCACTCTTTGCTCACAACTCCGTATGATGTGGTGGGTGGAAGAATTTTTAAGATCAGTCCAGTAGTTTGGAGTCTATTTAATATTGAATAGTTAATATTTGTTTGAGTATAAGTATTGAAAATATCATTTATTAGTAATCTTATAAATTTTGCTTATTTCAATTCCAGATGAAAGCGAGAAACTTTGAAAAAGTGGAAAAGGTTAGTAATATGAGTGTATGAGTAAAATATTAAATGTTGACTTTAAATGTTGCTGATAATAGAACTGTGATAATAAATGTGAAAAATATATATCCGATCAGGATATGTTAATAAGACTGATGTAGATGTAAGTTTTAGTTATAAGATTGAATAAAGTGGCAAAACATAAAGAATGAAAATGTTTTTTTTCGGTTAGGGTATCTGTGTGTTCAGACATGTTGGAGGTGACTTTATGGAATAAATCTTAAAAAAATAAATTGATAATAATTGTACATCAGGATGTTACATTTATGAAATCAAAGATTTAGTTTATTGTGTTATATTTTTCTCGGGAATATTAGCTGAAAAGAAAGTTATTGTATAAATATGAGTTTCCTAAGGTCACTTTCGACATGTAAAATATCCCTTTAGTTACAACTTCTAATTCCTTTATTATACAAAATAATATTTAAACTTTTTTATATATTTAAAAAATGTATATATATTTTTACTCATCCATTAATCACATGCTTCATATCCTGCTTAAATTATTGATTGAATTTCATAAAATATTCATATATCCTGTAGCCTCTTAATATCTATTTAAATTCATTTTTTATGTAATATTGTTTCAGTTAGCTTTTAAATAATTTTAAAGCTATGTCCATATATAATAATTTCATTGAGTGATCTAATTTTGTTCTCTCTTAATCAATTTTAATCTAGTCTAATAATTATATAAACTAATGAAGTTTTTTTTTTTTATATAATCACATTCTTACTTATTTTAAGTAAGCCTATATTTTGCTGTTTAAAAATATGAAAAGAAATATTTTTTGTATTTATTGAATGTTAGCAAATGTACAGTGAGATTAAGGTTGGTTTAACATCAATAAATAGTTATGTTAATATTATAAAATATTATAAATATTTCTTGTCTTGTAGTATTTTTAATATCTATATGGAGTCATGCATTTATTTTGTTAGACAATTTTTGGTACTTTTAGACCCTCTTTGTAACAAAAAATATGAATCAGAGTGAGTCACACTCCCCTTTTTTTACATATTCAATGAGTATTCATATTTATGGTTTTTTACAAGTAGTTTGTATACTATGTATATTTGTGATCTTACATAAGAAAGAGAATTTTCCCTCCCTCTTGAAAAAAAAATATACATGTTTGACGCCCTGCCATTCCAAGTCATATTACATAATTAATGGATCAATTGATTGATATAATTATAATCTATACATTTTTATTGATTTAAAACTCCTATTTAATATAATTTGTAGATTATAAAACACTTCAATATTTAGGTAAGTAATATTTCTTACGATTTTCTTGGTCTATACAAATCTTACCTCAAAAGTAGGTATTTTTATAATTTGTATTATTGGGACTATAGGCAACACAAAAGGTATTAAGAAGACCATTTTTTGGTATTATAAAAATGAGTAATATTGAAATATTTAGCAAAATATTCTGATAAATACAAGTTCATTATAAATGGGTCTTTATTTTTGTTTAAGCTAGTAACTTAGCTTTAAATTATTATTTTTTTTTATTATTGAAAATGCTATTTTCGGTCTTATCCGTATTTATATTACATACTAAAATTTTTGCCCATATAATTTACAAATTAATACATATTTAATGTTTTGCCTAGTCATTGTACTGAATTGATTAGACAAATATTTTTATGGTCAGTTATTTGAATGAAAAATATTAATTAACTACTGGATGGTGGTCGAACAGCTGTTTCAGAGATGTCTGATGAAGATCCTGAACATTGAGCTCTGGCGACTGTACCTCAACTATGTTAAGGAAACCAAATGCATGCTGCCCACCTACAAGTACGTATCAAATTGTTTTTTTAGTAATGTGCCTTTTAATTTTTTTATTTGTTTATGAACCACAACAAACAAGATTACAATACTTTATGCTAAAAGTTACTTAAATTAGGACTTATTGTAAACTCAATATCGTTCGTTTCTTTAAAATAGACATATTCTAATGCAAATTCCAATTCGACCTCAGTAGCCGAACGGTTCGCATACCGGTTTCAAGGTGTCAGTATCCATGAGGTCCCGGGTTCGATTTCCAGTCGGATCAATGTAGAAAGTGAACTTTTCTATACTGTCTTGGGTCGGGGTGTTATGGTACCTTCGTTGTCTCGGACACTGCATAATACGGGGGCTTAAGCTACTCATCTTAGAATCTGAGCAATGTATGTGATGTTGTCGAATATTTATTTAAATTGCAAATTCTTTGCAAGACTCGTACAACAAAAGTTTAAATTCAACCTATATATATAGAACTACAATGATATTGATAAAAATTATTATATCAATGTACGGTGAAACAGAGATTTGTGCCTATTTATATATGCAAAGTAAATTTAGAGATTGTAATTGTTATCTCTCAGAGTGAATGCATGTTTGTGGCTGCTTGTGTGATCTCGAGTATATGCGTGTGGTGACCGTCAGTGAATGCAAAAAATATAAACTATTAATGAAATATTCAAGATTTGTTAATACATCGTCTACGCTCACATCATAACAATGAAATGTGTTCTATCGTTGGTAATAAGAGTTTGAATAAAGACTAAATTAGGAGTACGTACGAGTATATGGGATTACAAAAGCTATCTTTTTAACGGTGTAATAAATTAGTTTACAGAGTTATTCTTTCATTTTAAAGAAAATAGCTTCTGTTCGCAGGGAAAAAATGGCGCAGGCTTACGACTTCGCCCTGGAAAAAATTGGTCTAGATATCCACGCGTACCCGATATGGAACGATTATGTAACATTTCTGAAGGGTGTGGACGCCGTTGGGTCCTATGCTGAGAATCAGAAAATATCTGCCGTTAGGAAGGTGAGTTATTTGTCAAACGGTGATAGAAAACAGCAGCAGTGAACGTTGCTATAATTCACACTTGTCTTAAAAGTGATAAATGGTATAAAAGTTTTAAAATGCCAAACCCAAACTTGAGGTAATTGGAAGACAGTACTTTTCAGTCAATAACAGAAGATATCTTATACAGACTCCAACCTTGTGAGATACCTGGTTACAGTTCATACATAATACTATTTATACCTATTAGTTATTGCTGTCCTTAACGTCGTAAATACTGATTAACGATTCGTTAATATGAATTTTTGTCAAAAAGCAGTCATTTAATGAATTGCCTAAAAAACTTTTTATATCTTATAATCTACAGGTCTACCAGAGAGCTGTAATTACGCCTATCATCGGAATTGAAACACTTTGGAAAGATTACATAGCATTTGAACAGAGTATCAACACTATCATAGGTGAGTGTTTATTTGTATTGTACATATATATGAAGCCCATATATGATATTCGATATTCTCTTATTTTTGCTACATTTTATCGATACAAAAATTTGCGACATGAGTAATGCTTCCAATTTGAGTACACATGAAATTTAGAATGGTGACTATAATTCTTCAATAGCCGAAAGAATGGCGATGGAAAGGTCTCGGGAATATATGAATGCACGTCGCGTCGCTAAAGAACTAGAAACTGTAACCAGAGGATTGAACAGGAACATGCCCGCCACACCGCCTACCGTTGACCGAGAAGAAATGAAACAGGTATTTATAGTGTTATTAGTCTACATATACCGTTATACTGGTTTGAGAATAGTAGTGAGAAGTCACAAAATTAGATAAAAACTAAAATTTACGTTAGAATAATTATTTAATACCATATGAAAATGTTATACACCTGTTCTTCATAATTTATATTTAAAAGAGTAAAATTTGAATACAACAAAAATTAACCTTCAAAGGTAAAGGTACGCTTCAAAGGTCATTTGAATTAGCTACTCAATAGTTATAACAGCAAATTATGAAAAGTATTTTTATTGGTAACTTATATGTAAAAAATAACTATGTAGTGATTTTTATTTGATATAAATTGTAAGGATATTTTTTTTTGCAAAATTAACTTGAGATTAATAATCTGTGCATACAATAACCGAAACGCGGTCAGCAACACATAGTATCGTGTGACGTCACAAAGTAATAAACAAAATGCCAACGTCTTAGTTTCGAGTGAAACTAGTGCAAATGTTTATAGATATGTGAGGTCACGGCTCGAAATGTCGCATGGCAGATTGTTTTCACGCTACAATATAAATTAATTAATTAAATATGTTTTTCCTTTATATTACACTTTTATAACAATTTGTGAAGACAAATAAATCTAGCCAATTTTTAGTCATTGTATTAAATGCCGAAAAAAAAAATGAAGAAATAAATATTATTATGTAAACGATTGTGTTTGTGATTGTACATATCTCTGTGTTAGGTGGAGCTATGGAAGAAATACATAACGTGGGAACGCAGTAATCCCCTACGTTCTGAAGACACGGCGTTAGTAGCGCGCCGTGTAATGTTCGCCATAGAACAAGGTTTGCTATGTTTAGCTCACCATCCAGACGTGTGGCATCAGGCAGCGCAGTTCTTGGATCATTCCGCTAAATTACTTCAGGAGAAAGGGGTAAGTTATCATCCAAAAAGCCATCTTTGATAAATTATTGTATGTTAAAAAAAAAAAAATTGTGATTGTTTTAGCAATTAACTCGAAGATGAACCACTTTATAAATGAAGTAGTTAAGATTTTATAGCTAGCAATGTTATAGAAAATATTCTAGTAAAAGCTTTAAAATCTGACCGCGAATGGATCAAGTTCTAATTAAAATATCTCAATACCGGGAGCCACAAAATGACCGACACAGCCGAAAGTTTCAAGTCAGGTTACATGCAAACATCATTTTATTTGACCAAATATTTCAAAATAAAGAAGGAGTAAAAATAGAGTAAAAATTTTTTTATTTCTATGTGTTGAGAGCCCTATAACGCGCATGCGCAATATCGATTGTGCACAGATAACAATGGACCGCGAAATACATTAATTTAATTTAATTATTTACCGATATCTTGATGATAGTCGATGCTGAAAATGTCAATTTCCTCTCTGAAGACTGAGCTAAGCACGTTTTTTGCATGCCGGTGCATGCATGCGCAAAACACATCACATTTCACACAAAACTAAACACAATCTTTACTAAACTACACTTAACACTCAAGACGAACACTGTAGTATTCTTATTAACAAAAATTCAATTAAAAGTGCACTAGAACAAAACAAAAATCGACAAAAAAGGCGCTTTGCAGCGGTGCGTCGGCGGCGATGCGCAACAACACTCCAGCGCTAAGGGTCGGCGGCGACTGAGCTCCGTTAGGAGTTGTAATTTATTTTATGCGACTGAGTTACGGGAACCCCCGACAGAACAATGAAGCGGGGCGGCGGTGGTAGGGCGGGTGGGGCTTTTGTCAAGGGTCGAACTCGGTTCACCTTTTTTTAATTCGTCTTTTGATATTATGCATTTTATAATGTTCTTTTCAAATGCAATTACTTAAATACTATTTTAATAACAAATTCCTCAATGTTTTTAAAACAAAGTATATTTGTGTTAGTGATGATTGATGAATCGCTGAAAGATTTGTGAGTTTATCGAGTTTAATTAACGATCCCGTTGTTAAAGGAGTATTACCCCATTCAAACAATTTCTTTTGGAGAACTGCTCTTTAAAAATAACGTAGGTTAATGTTAGACTGATCTCTCTACAATAATTTAGAAAATTTTACACTCGGTTTCTGAATTGAGAATTTAAAGTTAAACGTCTCAAACAAACATCACTTAGTTTTCGTTTCCGATTTTAGTTTTTTGATGATCAATCGATAGCAGTTTGATAAAACTAGGACTATTTGACTTGTGAAATTAAAAAAACTTAGGTTATTTAGAATAAGCACTAGAGATTATCTACTTTTTTCAAATCATATACCGGCTGTTAGTCTGTAAATCGATTTAAGCATTTTGACTGTCTTGCTTATTCATTGTCTGGTATTCTTTGCATGGAAGCGGTCTTATAAATCACAAACTAGTTTATTTCGTTTTTAGAAATGAAGAAGTCAATGACCGATTAAAAACTTTTCCTTAGTACGTCCCGAAAACAGCTAACTCAGGGTTGAAAACACTCATTTTTTCCAAAAACTTTGAAATTTAATATCTTCGAAACTATTTGATCTAGGCATATAATTTTTTTACATCATATTAAAGACAAATAGTACTCTCCAGAAACCTCGGGAGTGTCGGTCGTTCTATTGAAGGTGTTCAAAACTAGAAACCTTTTCTTATCGATTACCATTATAATAATAATATTCATCGAATTGAAAGACCATCGCCATGTATCATTGGTCGAAAAAAGGGGTTCTTAACCTACCGACATTACAGACTAGAGATTCTTGAAAAAAATACGTATAAAATATGTATAAAATGAATATTTAGTTTTATTAACAGACTTCCAAAAAGGAGGTTCTCACTTTGGCCGGTATGTATGTACGTTTGTGCGTGATTATCTCGCGTTTGGCTGAACCGATTTGGATGCGGTTGTCAGCATAGTATTTGTTAGCCTTAGGAAAAAATTTTAGGTATATTGACCGACTACAAAATGGAGGTTCGCATTTAAACACGTGTTGTATGTGTTGTTTGCGACTATCTCGCGTTTGGCTAACCGATTTTGACGCGGTTTTCAGAAAACTATTTTTTTATGTCTCAACTAGGACTCTAACGCGGCCCGTTTATTCTCGGACGAAGCTGCAGCTGTATATGAGAGGGCCACAAGCGGTCCACTTAAACATTCCACTCTGTTGCATTTCGCACACGCCGACTATGAAGAAAGCAGACTTCACTACAACAAAGTATGTGTTTTAAGGTTCAAAATCAAACTATTTAACACTTTTATATAACTAGAGCTGCTATTAAATGTACGTAGATAATTTGCTAACTCCATTCTGCATGTAAACACGGCGCAGCAGACTTGAGGTTTAGGAATCCTCGACAATTTGCAGACAAGGGAATTCTAAATTGGTCAATGTTAAAAACTGACACTGATTTTAGGGATAGACAAGGTCTGAAAATTGACTCCTATTAATTAACACAAGTTCTTACTTTAAACTTTCAAGATATGTTATGTATGTCTGTAAATCTCTGTATTTTGCTTTTTTTTTAAATATTGATGAGATTACAATTTTAATATTACTTACTTAACCAATTGAGTAAACTTAACCAAAAGTTTGTAGATTGGTAAGTAATTTATAGCGCCTGATCAATTTCGTCGCGGCCTAGGCTACAACCTTATTAGCCTAAAGATAAATTAGGCTTATCAATAGTCAAAGTCAAACAGGAAATAACTAGAGATAATTTTTAAAGTAATTTTGGCTATTGGGGTCTAAGGTAATTTAAGAAAAAGAGATTACTTGCTCAAAATAGTTTAAGAATCACTGGCCTAGACAATTTTGAAAAGCTTCAAAGGTTTGCGCTGTGATAAATATATCTGTGTTCTATGATTAGGTACATCAAGTGTATACCCGATATTTGGACATGGAGGACATCGATCCTACGCTAGCTTACGTACAATATATGAAGTTCGCCCGTCGCGCGGAGGGTATTAAATCCGCTAGGACAGTATTCAAGAGAGCCAGGGAGGATCCCAGGTATGAATTTTAGAAAAATCACTTGGTCTCTCAATCCTTTTCTGTCGCTCAGAACAGACTTGAAGATTAGGCGCTCTCTTTCTAGCTCTAACAAAAAAATGGTTCCGAACGACATAAAAGGTTAGGGCGACCGGAAAATATGTGATGTCAAATTAAGCTCAAACCTAATACTGTATAATTTATATATTTTAATTATGTATTATATTTGATCTATTTTGCAATATGTATCTTAAGTGAAAAATGCTTAAAAATATATTGGCTGTTTAGGTGGATTGCCTGAACATGGATGAAAATACGCTCTGTAGTAGTGAAAGTAATAGCTTGAAATTTTTATAAAACTCATACAGACTTCAAAAAAATCGATAAAATATTATTTATAACTTAAAAAAGCTGTTTAATTTACTGAATATAAAACGAAGAGCTGGTTGGTTTTTAGTTTTTATGTGTTACCAAAATTGTTATCTAAGCCTATTGTTTAAAAGCTTGAATTTTAACAGATCAAGATACCACGTGTTCGTGGCGGCCGCCCTGATGGAGTACTACTGTTCAAAAGATAAGAATATCGCGTTCAGAATATTCGAGTTGGGCCTAAAGAAGTTTTCACACATTCCTGAATATGTGCTGTGCTATATAGACTACCTGTCGCATCTTAACGGTGAGTATTTAAAGAATGTTGTTTACTATAAACATGTCTTTGTCGTTTTACTTTGATTTTAGAATCGAAATTTGGTTGTAAATTTATTTTAAAACACATTTAAATACATTTTTATTGTATTTTCACGCGCACCAATCATAAAAGAAAACTATTTTCAAACTGTTTTTCGAAAAAATATTTCTATTTTCATACGTTTCGGATCCTTTACAGGTTTCTTGTTCAAAAATACACCCGAAAAAATCGTGTATAAGCATTTTTATGCAGTATATATTTTAAACCCAGTATTGAGTTAAATTATAATCATAACTTTAATATTCGCTTATTTTTTACTTTAAATGTAAATGAAACGCGATTTTGCAATAAAATACTAATTGTACGGAAAACATGGCTTTCACGTGATGCGTGACGTAATAGGGATGATGACTGGGTAAAAAAAATGCAATTCTATTTAGTCCGTCAGTTAGATAATAGAAAAATATTAAATACGTATTTTTTTTTTTACTTCAAATTAACAAGAAATAGCCTAGATAACAGGCATTAAAGTTAAAGAGTGGGGGCTCACTACGTCATAGTTGAGTAGAATAATGTGACGTCATGCGAAATTTCAACTCAATGTAACGACGTAATTTTATGATTACGAAAAAAATAAAAAAATATGTGTTTAATATTTTTTAACACTACCTGACGGACAAAAAAACAAAAATTAGTCATCATCCCTATTATCCTGAATTACTTGATTTGCTGACTATCTTGAATTGCGGTCACGTGACTCTCCTGATTTGACCTCATATTTCTTTGTTATACATATATGGACCAAGAGAGAATGCGGGGCATTTTTGATACCGCACGTGCATTAGTTATAATGCCTTTGTCAGTGTGGGCTTTGAGTTTATTTAATTTAAATGTGGGATTTATAATATTTGCTTTGTTTGTTTAGAGGATAACAATACTCGTGTGCTATTCGAGCGGGTGTTATCGTCTGGAAGTTTGAAGCCTGAAAGCTCTGTGGACATATGGAATAGGTTCTTGGAGTTCGAGTCCAATATTGGTGATCTTGTGTCCATAGTCAAAGTTGAGAAGAGGCGGCAAGCTGTCTTAGAAAAGGTAAACGGTTAATATATTAATTGGATTTATTTTTTATATTTGATCGATTTCGCCTTCATAATGTATATGCAAATAAATAAATATGTGTAGTCAAAGCCCCCGTATTATGGAGTATCTGAGACAAAGAAAGTAACCCAGACCCGACACAATATAGAAAAGTTCATATTCTACATTGACCCGACCGGGGCGAACCCGGGACCTCAGAGATGTATTACGAAATGGGATTCGAAGCTATAAACTTTCTCAATCCGGGTGACTGCTCAGACCATTACTACTACTGCTATTTATTAGGGAAGCAGTTGTATCATATATTTGAATAATAAATCAATTTGTTTCAATGTCTACAGTTTTATATACAACATGATTTCCAGTCAACAGAATATGAAGTTATGCAAATTTGAAAATTCAAATTGATGTTAAACTTTAATTTATGGAGATTTAAGGTCAGAATTGATTGCAAACATCAAAGTTTTATGGTTTTTTTTTTATTATTCGAAAAATATACATTAGAAAATACCAGTCTGATCCAAACATTGTAATAGAATTCTCTTCGAAGCCCCTTATTTTCTTTGTCATAAGAATGACTGCCTTTCAAAAGAATAACCGATATTTATATAAAATATGTTTTTGTTATTAGATCAAGGAGTTTGAGGGCAAAGAGACGGCTCAACTCGTGGATAGGTACAAATTCTTGGATCTGTACCCTTGCAGTATAGCTGAATTAAAATCAATTGGCTACACTGAGGTATGTACTAAATAAAAATTACTTTATGAATGATTTTTAACGACCTAATATTTGCTCAAAACTTAAGCAAGATCTTATTTGTAAGGATGCAAAAACTGCCCCTACGGCAACATTACCATATAATTTTATAGCTTATAACATATTTTTTTAATAAATTTTACAAAGAAAGCAGTATTAGCAAAAAATAATCTCCATCTCTTTTGGTGCATACGTAATACTTGAACGACACCTTATGGTAGTTGTATGTACAAATAGGGGTAAGGCCAACTTTTTTTACCTGACTGCAAAGGAAGGGTTATTTTATTTATATTTTATTCTCGGTGGCGTAGTGGATAAGCGCCACGCCCTGCGATCGTTGCTGTTAAGCAAGTTTCGCAAGGCTCAGTTACGGAATGGGTGACAAAAAAAATATTAGCTCTAGCTACTCCCTGCTTCGGAAGGCACGTTAAGCCGTTGGTCCCGGCTGCATTTGCAGTCGTTATTACCCTTCATGGTCCATCCACCTTAACCATCCATAAGGCAGACCTGAACCCCTACGGTGGGGATGTAAAAGGGCTAAAGATGATGCATAAGGTTTAATTCTCTATGTTCTGATATGAATAAGAGGGCGTGACGTCACGCACTGTTTGCGGTCACGTGACAACGAGTATAAAATATTATATTTATAAGCATAAAATTATGATTAATGGTAATAGTATATTAAACACTATCAGAAAAAAAAATATATTTTCGTTTACTATTTACACCCGTATTGATAAGATGCTCCCTTTGTGACGTGTACGATTTTGACCTATTTTACACGACTGTCTAAAAAAAGAGTTGTGATTAATGTATGTATGTGACTTGTTTTTTTTTATTCCACCATAACTTATTATTTACGTCTTCGTTCAGGTTGCATCCATGTCGAACAAGTCTTGGGCTCTGGGCGGTCCACTAGCGGGCATATCTCCGGAACTAGCAGCTGTTATACTAGGTCAAAAGTGAGTTGTGCTTTCTAAATTAATATCTAGTTCTATGGGTTTACTTTATCACCAGAAGTCGGAATTAGGTAGAGTTATTTATGTACTTGCATCGAAATGTTGATATTAATGTGGACCTTCCCGGGATTTTGATAGTTTGAATGCGGTAGAAAGAGACACAATCTAGTACATTACGTTAAGTGGGGAGTGCTCCGCATTTGCGCTATTGTATTCTTTTGTTCTACCCTCCAATCCGCATTGGGCCAGCGTGGAGGGTCATGGCCCATCCTCCTTAACCATCCATAAGGAAGGCCTGAGCCCCTGCAGTGGGGACGTAAAAGGGCTGGTGGTGATTCTTTTGTTCTCACAAGCTATGTTGTGCGAACTACAAATGTGGCAACATCACGCGTATTGGTATTTTGCAACTTTAGACATCCGATGTTATTGATGTAAGTTTGGCAACGTCGTGCGTGCAGTAGTTTAAATTGTGTAAAAGTAAATAACTTTTTATTTAAAAAATCACGGGATTTTTTCTGCTCTTTAAAATTAATCTCGGGATTTGAGGCATATCCACTTTATTCGCTGTATAAAAATCAGTGTAAGTACATCAATAACTCTACCTAATTGCGACCACTGTTTATCACTTTCATAATATTACACGAAAATTTATTTTTTCAGTGATAAATTAACGATCTAATTTGATTGATCTCATGTTAATAGTAAAACTTAAAGAAATGCGAAAATATGTTGATTATTCTTTGTTTTATTTGCCGTATATAAATAGTAATATTTTCTATATGCGAGATCCCGCGAGATTCAAAATTCCCAGTCCCGCAAATACAGGCTGTGGGATTGGAAGCCCTACCAACGAATTTAATGAAAATATTGTTCAGCCAAGCCATAATACAATTTGTTTTCTTTTTATTTTGATTCGATATTGGCAGTCTTGTGTTTTAATTTTTTTAGATATCGCTAAAGTGCTAATATGCATAAGTGCATTAGATTTGATCTAATTTGTTATTTTTCTTATTCAACAAGTTTTGAGAATATCGTAGAGACGTAACAATTGGAAACTCCGTTGCTGTATATAATAGGGTTGTTCTTTATAATAATTATTATTTATTTACCAGGGATAATGATCCAAATAAAGACATAGCTCGTCCCGACACCAATCAAATGATCCCGTACAAGCCTAAAGTCAACCCGTTACCAGGAGAACATCCTATATCAGGTCAGTAGTAAGCAGACAGATTTTACTTATAAAGTAAGATGGTTCTGTTAAATTTTTTTAAGGAAAAGCAATGAATAAGTTTTTGACTAAGAATAAAATATGTTCTAATATGATACTATCAGTAGTAAACAATAAATTATGGTATTTAAAAAAATCTCATGGTACCTTCTGAAATTTTGTCATACATCTGGTTTCTGAATTGAGAATTTAAAGTTAAGCACGTCTCAAACCGTATTTAAACCATGTCCTACGTCATTTAAAAAGGTTTTCAATACTGATTTAAATTTTTTTAATGGTCAGGTGATAGCAATTGGATAAAATTAGGACTTTGCTACGTAAAACGTAAAAATCTTAAATTATTGAGAATAATTAGTTGAGATTTTGTTGTTTTCTCAATTTAGAAATCCGCCGATAGACTCAAATTAAAGGTAAAGTTTCTTAAATCTATACATCACGTGACTTGAAACACCACCCGCCATGATGTGACATCATATTGGCAAAAATGATCTGTCATCCGTTAACGGCTACCTATTTATTTTCACTATATTAAATTGAATTTTTAAATAATTTGGTTGTTTGTTGAAGGCGGAGCTTTCCCAATGCCTCCAGCTGCTGCCCATCTCTGTACATTGATGCCGCCACCGACAAGTTTCCGTGGACCGTTCGTACACGTGGACAGACTGATACATCTGTTCAATAGGATTTCTTTACCTGACAAACGTGAGTTTTCATAATGATATCATTAGCTTTAAATGTGTTTACCTTTCAGCAATAGGCTGATAGCGGGTCCGGATCTACTATTTTTTATCGATGTTGCGTCCTTGTATAAATCCTCTCCCCCCTTCATGAGGATAAATTTTATATTTTCATATTTTGCAGTGTTTATTTTCTTTTATGTAAAAAATATGTCCATCACATCTTAGTCTATAATGTGTATGGATTTAATAAGACATTTTTATTCATCTCTTTTTTACTTACTTTTGTCATGTTACTATATTGTGATATATGTATGCCTATTAAATTTCCCATAAGCATAGCATGGAACATAAGCTACATATGAGTCATATAGGGGGTACGAACCATAACACACCATGCAGGCGCAATACTGCCGAGTGGCTTAACGCGCCTTCCGAAGCACGGACGGGCTCGATATTATGACAAATTAAAATTTTCAGGAGCCAATAATAAATATAAATTAAATTTAAAGTAATTTTAATCTGTATGTTACGTGACCTGAAACAAGAGCCGCAGTACGTGGCGTCATGTTGGCAAAAACATTTCTAGCGATGGCGTGCTCATTCAATGATTTGGCTAATGGAACGAGTCCTACTTTATTTATCTTTAGCGAGTACGTCGATGAGCTACGTATTTTGTATGTTACTGGATTAGTAAAAAGATAAGGCTCCATACCCCTCTTTTTTAACCCCCTCCATTTTTTGTGATCTTGACTGATGTGATATTATTTCAGCTCCTGCGCCGACTCAAGAGAACGGCTGTGACACTAAATTGTTTGATCTAGCGAGATCTGTGCATTGGATAGTGGATGACGATGGAATCACTACAGTTGCCAACAAGGTGAGATCTTCTTTTCATTTAGAACCGGTTGTTCTTGTGAAATGAATTTCGTATAAATGATAAATTAACTTTTGAACTATTATAGAAAATCAATTAGTAATTTCTACGTGTCCTTATAAGTATTGCTCTCATTCAGCTAATCTTACAAAATAATTTATATTTCCTTACAGTCCCGTCGCAGGAAAGCAGGTGAAGATTCTGATGACGATGACTTGGGCATCGCACCGCCGGTCAACGACATATATAGGCAAAGACAACAGAAGAGGGTCAAGTAGACAAGAACGTAGCTATAAATGGGAATGATACAACAATAACATGTCTATTATGTTGTATATTCGACTTTAATTATGAGCGTATGAAATTTTTAAAACAAATCTATGAATATACAATAGTTTTAAGTAGCATGCCTTTGCCTTGTTTTATTTTTAGTCGTTGCAATAACTTTCTGTTTCGAACACTGCTCAATTGATGCAGAAAACTTATGAAGTGTGAGCAATTCGTATGACCACGACAACTTTGTCCTGTAGTGATGCGTCCCTCACTCTTGAGGTACCTTGTTTGAGGTCCTCTTTCGACAAAATGAGGGAGTATTCGTTTTTCAACTTTGAACCACCTCATTTAGCTCCTCACTTTTTGAAGCCTCAAGAACTTGGTGCAAACACAGATAATATGCCTCAACAGAATAGCAAGTTGCTTAGAATGAAAGGTATAGTCTATACATAATCAACATATTAAAGATTGAGTTTGATAGTTAAGTTTTGCATTCTACTAACTTTATCTTACATGAATAATATTAATCGATCAAAAGAAGGCGAAACAAGTAAAAATAAAAAAAGATTGTAATGTAATTAAAAATAACAGTGAAAAAATACATATTGAGTAAAGGAAGAAATTAATAACCAAAATGCATTCTCCCTTAGAAATATTTTTACATGAACTTGTTTAACAACAATATTAAATTATTATAGCTTTAAATATTCGATCATTTATCACATATGTTTCTCTCGGCTCGTCTGGCGAATCTTTTATTTCTTTGCATTTATTTCATTTGCTTAACCTCACCTCAAATGAGGGGTACCTCGCGAGTACCTTATGAGGTAAAACGAGGTCCTCGCTCATCCTTAGTAAAAATGAGCAAGTTACACAACTCTGCTTTCCTGTGAAGACAGATTATTTTTTTTTACACATAGAAAGTGAAAGTATTTTTTCTCATCTAGAAACACGAAGAAAAAGAAATTGATATAACTAGAGTTATATCAGTGTTCAGAGAACACATTGTATGTTTACGCGCGACATAAATTTTTATCTTTTAATGTGAGGGTGGACTGAAATGAAAACAACCTACAACCCACGTTGTCTGATGTGTAGTGATAGTTATTGAGTGTAACATACTCTAGCGTAGAGATGCGCCGAAGAGTCGGTTTCTTTTTCACTACATGTTCGGTCGAATTATTCGGTTTTGTTGCCAAATATATAAGGTTCGAGTATTATATTTTCTCGACTACATAACACGGTATAGAACTAAAATACATAACTTCTTTTCTAAGTTTTATATTTTATTAAAAGTTAAATAAACGCTATGAAATCATAAATATTTATTTTTTAAACTATAGTCAACATTTATTTTAAACATTAAATCAACTTTTATTGTCTATACCTTATATATTGTTAATAAGTAAATTAAGGGGTAAATAACAAAAATAGACACGATAACAGAGATATAAATATAGAGAAATACTATAAAAATATAGTAGAGATCAGAAATCAAATAAAAGATAAGCAAAAAGAAACATATATATACTAAAATATTTATAATTAATTAATGTTAAATTATGGTGCAGAAATACCAAACTCTCGGCCTTCTTGTGCAAGAACTTTTTTATATACAAAGGTTCCTTGATTCCAAAATAACTATACACACACCATTACCAGGGCACTGAGAGACACTGGCTAAACAAAAACAGAATAGAATAAAATATCTTTTATTGACACCCAGACAAATACAAAAAGAAAATAAATGGGTAAACTGAATAATTCGGCCGAATGTTCTGTTAAGTTCCAACCGAATACTATTCGGTTATACTATCGGCGCATCTCTACTCTGGAGTGTATGCAAGAGGTAGGAGATATGACTGATGAAACAATGACACTATCAATAAATTTATAGTTTCGCATTTTCACGCTATTGCGAACGAATTCGTTACGTCTATTTTAGATTTTAAAATCTGAATCAGTGATCGGAGGCATATTTCTCAAAAGTAATTTTTTGTACATGGATTATATACATACATAATACACAAAAACAAAAATACATTTACTTCAAATAATTTATTGATTTTTTTATTATCTATAACGCTTATATAAGATTTTCGATTGTTCACTAAACATGTAACTGGATATAAAGTAAAAAAAGATGGTAGAAATTAGCAATTACTGTGAGAACTATCGAAAAACATAATATACAGAATGTACAAAGCTAAAATTGCTCCTTATACTTAAAACGGAATTTATCTGCGTTGTCATAAAAAATACACATATGAATCACTAACAATGCTTACATATAAGTTTTATAAAGATAAGACAATAAATGAAAATGTCATACAACATACAAAATAATAAAAAAGATTATTTTGTAATGGCAATATGACGACAAGTTTAGTTCGATAGAATAATTCTAAAATTATTTACCACATTTCCGAATGTCACACTCAAGTTATAGTCGAATAAAATTATTTCTAAGGCATTATTATTTTATAATAACGGGATTTCATTATATAATACAATATCAGATTATAGTTTTATGACAGTACTTATGACAAGTAAAATTTTTATGACAACACAAAAATAATCCATTTTATCTAATCAACGATCGCGTTCATCGATCGATCTCTCCGAAGACGACGTCTAATGTTCCTATGATGGCTACTATGTCGGCCAACATAGAGTTCCTGCCGATTTTCTCTAAAGCCGCCAGATGAGCGAAGCCGGGCGCTTTTATCTTGCATCTGTTAAAAAATGGAGAATTCATAAGGGTCGACGCATATTTGACTGAAGATTCGCGGAACGTTGATACTGATAATATTCAGTATATTGATATTTCAATAGCTGTTAGTCGTATGCACTTATTCATACTTTTTGTACCAACCCTTACTCTGTTGGAGCGTGAATAATTTGGTATACACAGTAGCACGCCAAGTGACTAAAATATGTCAAATTGGCGCAGTTGATTTGGGATTCTACTCTCAATGTGTTAAGGTTTAAAATCAAGTGGAGTAATTTTTTTTTTTATAACCTAACCAATAGCCTGACAGATAATTCAAGACTTTGTTTTGGCCGTCCAATCAGGACTACAATTACGCGGTAGAACCGCAGATATTGTCATCAGAACTCGTAGCATGACTAACTCGAGAATGTTTTGTCTACACTCCAAATGTCACTTTTCTCGAATGCGCCCAGAGAAATGTGACGACCTCATCCGTAGCCGAGTGTCGCCATCTTTGAGGATGGGTCAACGTTTGTTTTAGTACCTTCGTTCCGATACTCCATAATAAGGGGCTTTTAGCTACTCATCTTGAAATTGAGCAATTTATGTGATGTTATCGAATATTTATTTGAGTGTAGACAAATTTTATTTGAGGCTTCTCAACTTTGGCATGCTATCCGTGCTGGATGATTATCATTTTATTAACCAACTAAAAATTTTAAGCACTTTCACACTGCATTCATATCGATAGAAGGAAGACAAGCATATGAGAGAATAATTTTTGTTTGTCCGTCAGGTAGATTATTGAAGAATATTAGACACGTTTTTTTTGGGTTCCATGCACAAAGGGTACTAAGACTTCGCTGTCTATCTCTGTCTGTCATCAGGCTGTATCTCATAAACGGAGAAAGTAGGACAGTTGAGATTTTCACAGATGATGAATTTCTGTTGCCGCTATAACAAAAAATACTAAAAAAACAGAAGGTGCAAGGGTTGTCTCACACAACAAACGTGATTTTTTTGCTCGTTTTCGGCACAGAACCCTTCGTATACGAGTCCGACTCGCACTTGGGCGGTTTTTAATTTTTATTCGTAATCAATAAATTGAGGTAGCATGACGCCACTACCTTGTACATTTTCAACATATTTGGACGTAGCGCCCACTCCTCAACTGTACTGCCTGTTACCTAAGTCCATTCATATTAAACTGAAGGGAAAAATATATGTGTCTGATATTTTTCTATTATCTTACTTATGGACATAATTTCATAACTGGATATAATTTCTTTTATTTTACCCAATCATACTTATTTATATTTATATAGGCAAAATGAAAGCATCATGTATAATACCTGTACGGTTTGGATCCACCGTCGGACACTAGATAAACGCCGAATTCACCTTTGGGCGCTTCTATAGCCGTGTACGTGGCACCCGGGGGCACTTGGTAACCCTGAGTGAATAACTTGAAGTGATGGATCAGTGCTTCCATGGACGTCTGAAATATAAATTATTCAAAATTAATAGTAAAAGCTTTTGATATTTTTTATTATTTATTGAGGCGTTAATAATTAAAAATATTTTTATTTTATGGATATACATGAAATATATCTTAAGAAAATATTTAAAAATATATCATTCATATAATAGTTTTAATTTTAAGATAATACGATAGTCGTGCGATTTTAAGACTGAAAATCAGAATCTTTATGTTTATTACGATGTAAATTTTAGTTTTTATGCAATTTTGTGACTTATTCTTCACTACCGAAACTACCCTATTGTTAGATGACGTCATTATAGATGCCTAAGCTTCAGTGGTGAAAGTTATTGTTTCACTATGCCAACAAAGAGGATGGTGCAACGCATTCCGCAGTCAATGTTAAAGTAAGCGTGATAGTTACGTCAAATTCGACATAAACTTTAACTGTTGTAATTCTCAAAAGTCAAAGTCAAAATAATCTTTATTCAAATTAGACTTCTTAAAAGTACTTTTGAGTCATCCAGCATATTTTCAGGTCGTCCTTTAGCCGATAAGAACGTGCAAGAAACTCACCAGCTCTAATAGGAGTAATGTAATATAACATTCACAAAAACCATGTCATTACCAGATCAATACATTATAAACAGAGAGAATAGCGATAACATAATAATTTAATAATAATGGCAACAAGATAATTTTTTATAGTTTAGAAGAAATCACCTATCTAGTTGCTGGTCGATCTTAAGTCCAAGCATTCTTATCTATTATTTAATAGGATACCTTATAATAAAATTTTAATTTGTAGATTTAAACTGCATGATATCTATTTGTTGTATTTTTCTTGGGACCTTATTGTAGAAGCACATACCCTGAATGAGTTATTAACTTTTTGAAGTCTAGTGACAGGCTAACATTCTAACCAAGGGGGTCTTTGCCAGTTAAATTATTTAATGTATTCATTGAAATAATGTGTTAATATTGGTAGTTTGGTATATACCTTCATCTCCTCGCGCGAGGGTGGTGTCAGTTTCGCGTCATCAGTCTTCACTTCACCGGGCGGCATTTGGTTGAGGCACTGGTCGATTATACGTAGAGACTGACGCATCTCCTCCACGCGGATCAAATATCTACACAACATAAATATATAGATATTAGACAACACCAAATACATTTCTCAGATCCCACCACCAGCTCTTTTACGTCCCCACTGCAGGGGCTCAGGCCTTCCTTATGGATGATTAAGGAGGATGAGCCTTGATCCTCCACGCTGGCCCAATGCGGATTGGAGGATATTAACGACTGCAAATGCAGCTGGGACCAACGGCTTAACATGCCTTTCGAAGCACGGAGTAGCTCGAGATAATAATTTTTGGTCACCCATCCCGTGACCGACCCTTGCGAAAGTTGCTTAACGACTACGATCGCAGGCCGCGGCGCTTATCCACTACGCCACCGAGCTCAGATCCCAAATCAAGTAAAATCCGGTCGTCGAACACAAAGAATTTCGTACGTTGACCTTTGTGTCTACTGAGAGATATAGTAGACGTTTAAGATTCACTTTACTATGACAAAATCGGCTAGACGCATCTGTGCGCGCGCAATGGCAATATGTTTGCCCACGAGTGAAAGAGATATCTAGTGCCGAATTGTTGTACGAAATTCTCTCTGGCGGCTGTCATATAAGTAAAGTATTTGTATTATCATCATCAGCACTGTTACGTTATTGTTACTCTACGCTTGCCCAATGCAAACTGGAGGGTATTGACGACTGCAAATGCAGCCGGGACCAAAGGCTTAAGGTGACATTCTGAAGCAGGGAGTATAGCTCGACATAATAATTTTTTGGTCACCCATCTCGTGACCGACCCTTGTGAAAGTCGCTAACAACAACGATAGCAGGCTGCGACGCTTATGCACTACGCCACCGAGCAAATAAAGTATTAAGGAATTTTAAAACAACGATGTTAACACAACACCTAGACACCTTTTTACATTGACACAACTGGCACACGACCTAAGAGAGTAAAGTTTGAAATCAACACTGGAAAGAAATTCAAAAAAGTGATCAATTTAATAATAAAGTTAATACTCGTAAAAGCTCCTATAATAAAGCTGTTAAATGTTGACAGCCAATAGGTCCTATTATCTACGCTTTAAGGTACATAATCCAACCTGTCGTAGCAGTCCCCTTTTGTACCGATCGGTACGTCGAAGTCGACCAGATGGTAAGCGTCGTAGGGCTGCGTCTTGCGGAGATCCCACTTGATACCGGAGCCCCGGAGCATCACACCGCTAAATTGAACAAATTAAATTAACAATTTACATTTACACTTGAAATGCCATAATTTATTAATCTAGCTAGATTACTTCTTCTATGGGTACAGAACAATTTTGTGTATTTTTAAGCAATACAGCAGTAAGTAGTTTCAGGGAAGGGGTGAAATTCGATATTGTTGTAGCCGTTGAACTATTTTTGATGTTTCTATGAGACAATTTCAGATGAATTAAGATATCTTCCCTTTTATTTTGAAAAAGTAAATAAAAGAACATTATTAATAAGCAAATTGACGATGATAGAAGAGAAAACATCAAATTAAGACGTGTTGACTTATTTTGGTTGGTTAATGGTTTAGTCATCGTTTTATAATAAGATGGTGACAAATTATTTATTTATTTATACAAAACTTATTCTATTATTACAGGTAATGCCTGACCCAATATGTGTATCCTTTACATTAGATTCTAGTCCTTCTATCCTTCTAATATTATAAATCGCGAAAGTTTGTGAGTACGTATGTTTCTTACTCTTTCATACAAAAACTTCTGAGTGGATTTCGAATATAGATAATTTTATAGATTCTGTATAGAAATTTGGTATATAGATAATTCTCACCCTGAATCAACATATACTACTATGTTAAATTTTATCCCACTAAATGTTTCCTTAAGGACCAAGTGAAATTAGTCCTTATTATAGCTGACTCACCTAAATCCGTAATTGAGTGCGTCCTGAGCTGATACAATGCCGATATCTTTGGTGCGCTGCACCCAGATCCTATTGGTCGTGAGGACATCTTCCACTTCGTCCAATCGCTCGGCAAACTTGGACGAGAACTCGTATATGTCGTCCATTAAGCCTAGAGGCATGTCCTGGAAGACATAAGGTGTTATTGATTTTAACAAGTTTCAAAATGGCAAACTGAATATGTTAACTTCATGGTCTCTGGAGCTTTATTCCGACAGGATAAGTATCATTTTGCGTCGAATTATTGAGGTGTTATGAGACATTTCTTAAATTTCATAACATACACATGACCTCCGTAGCCGAGAGGTACGCAAGCAGACGGATTTCAAGGTACGAGTATATTTCTGATCGGATCAATGGTAGGAAAGGACTTTACTATCTCGGGTCTGATTGTTGTGATACCTTCGCTGTCTCAGATACCATATTACGGAGGGTTTAGCTACTTATCTTGGTATCTGAGCAACATATGTGATGTAGTCTAATATTTATTTATTATAAAAATATTATAATATAAAAAAAAGATTTGATTGTTTATTTCTATCGAACAGCGCCTGGAACTAATGGAGTGATTTAAAAAATTCTTTCACCTACGAGAAACTACATCATAGGCGTGTGACATAGGCTATAATTTTCGCTGGCGAAGTCGCAGGAAAACAGCTAGTTTACTAATATACTTACCAAGGACACGCCTCCGGGTCTTATGTAAGCGGCGTGCATTCTCGCACCGCTCACTCTTTCGTAGAACTCCATCATCTTCTCTCTTTCTTCGAACAGCCAGAAGAATGGCGTCAACGCGCCAACGTCCAAAGCGTGCGTCCCGACGGCCATGATATGATTGAGGATACGTGTTATTTCGGCGAACAGAGCTGAAAGTAAACATGAAAGCAAAATTACCAAAGAGTTCACTAACATACTCTGGCGGTAGTGTACCCAATCAAGAGCACGAAACAGCACAATTGCAATGTCGATCGATTGCGATTGCATTCGAGAGTAAGAGGGCATATCAGAGACAAACCTGTAACTTTTCACTCGCTTAGCAAGAGATTATGTATAACTGTTTTGTCTTTTCCTAAGAGATTATGTATAATAACTAAACTGTTTTGTCTTTTCGTTACTAAAAAGATACAATTAGCGTTTTGAAATCCTGGTATTGGAAATTTTAAATCCTATATTCCATTTCTCATAGCATGGGTACAGTGACATTTGTTGACAAATTAATTTAACGAAATTTGTATTTCCAAATAATTAAAAACGTTTTAAAAAATAGTTTGCCTTTATATATCATCATTATCATCATCACCAGCCCTTTTACGTCCCCACTGCAGGGGCTCATATATATATTAGATATTTATTTAAATTTGTATATTTTAATAGCCATAATTACTGAAATGTAACCCTTTATTTAAAACATTACATGTTACGAAAATTGGAACATGGTTTTTGTTAAATAATTAGGTACTAATAATTATTTATTTACATATTAGAATATTTATTTAATTGATTGTCAAAACCATAATATTCATTAGTTACTATGGGAACTCAACTTTTGTTTTTAATTGAAACTTCAGAAGAGTCTTACCAAGTAGGTAAGTATATAACATTTCTAATAGTGATTGAATCAATAAAATTATTTTAATCGAAATATTATGTATTCACTGATCATTTGTCAATGATTTATTTATTGCTGTCGTAATAATTAAACTTAACTTTAATAAAATATGTATTTTTCTGAGTCGTATTCATCCTGTTGATGAATAAATATTTTTCTTAAATCCAATTTTATACTTTGACCTAAAAATTGATTATCTCTATTTGAAACAAACTCAATAATATTATCGTTTTTGTTGTATATATTTTTATTATCACATCACTAAAAACTTAAAATCCCAAATATGATCCTGCCCATGCTATGTGAAAAAGATTATGGTTTTCTAAATTTAAGTTTGGAAACCCTACAGTGCAAATTAATCCTCTTAACAAGAAATTCTATCATATTGTCCACTTACTACGAATGTATTTAGCTCGCAATGGTATATCAATGTTTAGTAGCTTCTCCACAGCCAAGCTATAGCATTGCTCGTTACACATCATAGATACGTAGTCTAATCGGTCGAAATACGGCAATGCTTGAGTGTAAGTCTTGTATTCTATAAGTTTTTCTGTGCCCCGGTGAAGTAAGCCTATGTGTGGATCAGCGGCGCGTACCGTCTGTTGACAAAATAAAATACATCAGCATTTTAATGTCTTCATATGTCAAGTTACAGGCAATGTAAATGCAGCTTAACCTGACTTCCAAAGCATGCAGAGCTCGATTGCACATGTGTGAACACACACCTGTGTTTGGGGTAAAGTAACTATCGTATAAACTCATCTTCGGAAATTTGACCAGCTCCTGACAGACTAGAGTGATAGAGGTCCACCGTGAGCTTACCCTAGCAATGTATCTCGTGTGCTAAAGTTTTGAAAGAACCTTTTTACTGAAAAAATAAAATAGAATTTTACTGGCTGTCATTTTTTTCCGATTTTGAATTTGGATTTTTAACTTTTAGTTTATTTGTATCGCAAATTCATTTGATATATTTTCCCGTCATGGTGGACAGAAAAATAAATTACGTTCAACTGTCATTTCGCTATTTAAGGCAGGAAAAAAATCGATGCAGACTTTCCGAGAGCTGAAAGGTTCACAATACAGCGGTACAAAGAGACAATTTCTCTGCAACATCGCCAAAGGAGTAGTCGCTCTGTGAGGATGCCTGCTAACATCAAAATCATTCGAGAGCGACTTCGCCGAAATCCATATCGGACTCAGAAGACGCTCTGCAGACTAATATTTCACGCGCTTCAGTGAACAGAATACTAAAATATGATCTTAAGGTAAAGGCCTATAACCGTAGAAAAGTTCACTTTTTAAACGATCGTCTTAGTAAGTTACGACGGGAACGTTGTCCTGCTGAGGAGACATGATGCCAGGAAGATACTCTTAACCGACGAGAAATCTTTTACTTACGAAGAAAAGTTCAACCGCCAAAATAATAAAGTATACGCTAAAAGTAGCAAGGATGTCCCAGCTTCTCCACAGAATGTCTCGCGCACTCATCATCCGGCTAGTGTGAAGGTATGGTGGGGAGTTTCGTATCAAGGTGTCACTCCGCCCCATTTCGCCAACAATGTGTCAAGGGGAAAGCCAAGAATTATCAGAGTGACATTTTAGAGCCCGTGGTGAAACCCTGTCTGATACGTTATTTCACAATAAGTATTGGGTTTGCCAGCAAGACTCAGCGTCATCCCATTAGGCAAAAAGCACCCAAGCTTGGTTGAGGAAAAATGTGCCGGCCTTCATCGCGGCGGACGGGTGACCCTCCTCCAGCCCCGACCTCAACCCGCTAGATTATTCATTATGGACTGAATTTGAGCTCAGGGCCTGATGAAAGTCCCACCCAAACTTACGAGTCACTGAAGTGAACCCTTGTTCGTGAAGTAAAGCGAAGTCCGCTAGAAAAGATTCGTGCCGTTATTCAGTGCCGGTTTTAGCACTACTAGCGCCCTGGGCGAAAATTCTTCGGCGCCCTCTAACTGCAATTCAATTACAATCAGTTACTACTACATACTACAAATCAGTTACTTGTCTTTTTTTCCCCGACCCAGCCTACTTAGGTACTTGTAATTTCCTTAAATTTAGGAAGATTGTTAAGTTGGCAGCATTAGAATGGAACGTAGTGTTCAATCGGTTCAATTTCTCGGGAATCCCCGACATTCCGACCATACAGAAACAATGTGTTTTTCTATAATCGGGGATTCCCTAGATCTATCTCTTTTAATTTTTTACGAAGAAGAACACAATCAACAATTATCTTCTTGCTTGACATAAGTGGACGCTCTTAAAACAATTATTCGATTATTTCAAAACAAGCAAACACAGTAATCAAACGTTTAACGCTACGTTACGATGCTCTTGTTCCAACTATATAGTGACATTAGTTTTATTTAAAAAGTAGACATATAAATAGTGTATAAGTAATTGATTCATTTTTGACGGATCACATCATTAGGTAAGTACAGATTCATTTTTACCCTAACAGGATGTCACATAATTGTTATCTATAACTTTGTGTAATTGTTGTAACTTTGTGACAGTGAGTTTGCAGTGGGCCACTACTTATTATATGATCAATTATTTTGCTATTTCGAATAAGTGAACAAGTAGCTGGATCCGTTATATTCGGGACAACAGTATCAACATCATCTAGTACATGTATTTGTTGTACATCAATAACAGATTCATCCTGAGCAGCATCTGTAATCATAGCACAACTTGCTCCCTTACTTCGGAATTTTTCATCCACAATCTCTTGAGTAGCTATTCCATCTGACTTGCCAGACAGAGGCTCCACTGCCGATGCATTCGTTTGTATTGCAGCATTTTAGCTTCAGCTTAACGTTTAAACATTGCTCAAATGAAACTTGTGTAATATTTATTTATTTATATCTTCATATTGGTAATCGGTATGTTGTTCCGTTTTACCATAATATAATATTTTTATTGTTAAGTAACCTTTCAATAAATGCTGAAAGTGAGGCAACTCGAAAATAAAAAAAATCCTCAAGGTTATTTTTTCGCTAACCCAGTAGGCCTTGTTCAATGAGAAAGGGAACTATAGGAAATGAGGAAGTATTAAAAAAAACATTAGTTCCTGAAATCAAACTAGATGTCGCTACGGTATGTTCTTGATTTCTCCATGACAACCCTTTCAGTTTTCTTTCATGTTTAAAAGTAAATTAGTGTTCAAAACTCAATTAACAACTCATATTCTATTTGTACTTTTTCGTATTTGTGTTGATATCTAAGTTTCGAACTTTTCAAATTTCAGTTTTTTAATACGTTAGTTAAAATGAACGGAAATGACTGTCTTTGTTCCATTCGTTTCCTGCAAAAATCTACTTTTGCTAGAGTCGCCATCTAGGTGGAGGTATTTTTGTAGTGCTTTCGTTTTTTTAAAATACATCCTCATTATACAGAATCAGAAAGAAGCGCCGAACGAAAAAGGGGCGCCACGTCCTGCGGCGCCCCTTTTCGTCCGGCGCCCCTGGGCGGTCGCCCAACCGCGCCCTACCCTAACGCCGCTACTGCCGTTATTGATGACTGGCCAAATCGTCTAAGGGCCTGTATTAAAAACAAGGGCGGTCATTTTGAATAAAATATATATTTTATTGTTGATTATTATCTATTTAATGGTTACTGAAAATTTTTGAATATAAGTTAATTATTAAAAAAGTTACGAAACTTTTATTTCGTCTCAAAGCTTATGAACACACGAAGTAATATTTGGTTGTAATCAAACGTTTCTTGGCAAGCTGAGGCAATGTTGTAAACAGTAGGGATATGTTATTTCGGTTACAGTTACGGATACTTATATCGGTAATATTTAAGAAATGTTATATCGGTTTCAGTTATAATTACGGATATGATTTCTTTTCATACCTAACCAGAAGAAAGGATATCGCACTCCCGGTGCGACACTGTCACTTATGTAAAAATTTAGTTTTTCAGGAGAAGAGTTTTAAACTCTGCCACCTCACAAGACAATGACTTTAGAAAATACAGATGAGATGAATCATACGGAACATGGTTCCGTTTGATTCATCTACAAAAGTGACATTATCGCACCAAGTAAAGGGGGCTTTAGGACAATTATTACATATTTAACTAATTTTTGTATTTTTTGCAAAAGTGACAGTATCGCACCGGCGATATGTGAAATGACAACACAAAGTGTATTAAAAATAAATTCCTTAATTTAAAATAATGGTTTTCAATCTGTGAGACACGTGATTGCAAACGATATTAGAAAAACGATGACGTCATTAAATAAAACTACTTTTAGCGATTACAGCGCGTTTATATCAGCAATCTCTATAAAAATTTAAACGTCTTTTTTTGCTATAATAAAGTACGTTATTAAAGTTAAACTGATAAAATAATGTTATTGATAAATCACGTTTAATTAATTTAAAGTAGGATTTAAAAAGATATAAAATTTTGATGGGTATATTTTAAAATAAGTGATTTGAAGTTTTTAAATATTGTTAACTCCCTGATTCCAATTATAATTGTTTGATAGTCATAAAAATATAGTTTTTCATTTATTAAACGAAACTACTCTTTATTTACAAAGCATTTAACAGTTGTTCGTTTTGTTTGATAGTGCGTGTAAAAATATAAGAAATCAATATTTTATTTGTTCTTTCAACTAATTGCTTTTTTGCGCTTAACGGCACTTGTTTTGCATTGTTATTTAAGATAACAAGTCTTCTGGTACTTTTACTAGAGCTATATTTAGGGAATATCCAAAGATATTTGAATTCCTATGCCGCATAACAGTCGTACAAATACTTTAAAAAATTCGAGTATCTATTTAGTTTGCGCGTGGCTGGTGTGTCGGCTTGGCCGGGTAGAAAGAAAACTGTCATACGTCATGTAGTTTCAGCCTCTACACGAAATTATCCGAAACTTGTATTTCGGTTACAGTCACAGATTTCGAATATCCGATATCCGATAGTTACTGTTACGAAGCTCCATAACATCTTTGATGTAGATTCTGCCTCTATCCGAAATTATCTGAAACTTTAATTTGGGTTACGTTTATGGATATCCGATAATTTCGGTTATGGTTATGGAGCTCCATAACATCCCCGATAAAACCTGTTAACTGACAATTTATTCAAAAAGAAATGGGTTTTACCAGTAGATGCAGTTAAAAATTCTTATCACAAATAATGTATCTAACTCTGTTACATAAGAATTGTCACTTAGCAGGTTTTATCAAATGGGTGGATTAGATCAGAAAAAATATATATTTTTTTTAATATTATATTACAAATAGCAAGTGACATTATGTGCACCAACCACTATACTATTATGGTTGTACCTTTATTAGTTTACAGAAGATACTCACTTCACCATCTAACTCAAGTACCAATCGTAATACACCATGAGCAGCAGGATGTTGTGGCCCAAAGTTCAAGATCATATTGCGAACATTCTTCTCACCGGGTGCTATGATACCTAGACACAATTAGAAAATAACAGGTATCATTACTCTAACGTGACTTATTTATAAAATAACTAGAATGGATTTAAAAATATGTAAAATACTATCCTACTAATATTATAAAGGTTAAAGTTTGTAGGTTTAGATGTTTGTTACTTCTTCATGCAAAATCTACTGAACAGATTTTGATGAACTTTGGTATAGTGACAATTCTTAGCATGGATTAACATATAGGCTACATAGTACATAGTTCCCTAGTACACTATAAACCTAAAGACAATAAAGTTCATAATATACATGTACTTTAATGTGTTCTGTGTTGTCTTGATATAAACAATGTACATAGCATGGGACTGATGGATTAATATATCACTCAAGAATTTTTGTTTCTGTAATTCAATGTAATATATCTGTTAAGACCTCAACTTACATTAAAACTAGGTACATTTTCATTTGCATATTATAACTAAAAAAGTTATAAGATATACAGTGTTGTGTTCCAACTGTGACAGAGATATTACTTTCTTACATTAGTAAGAAATGTGTCTCTAACTATATTCAATGTATGAAACTGATACATTCTATTATGATATAATGCAACACAATACATGTGTTTCTATTTTACAACTAAAAAATTCTATCAAAAAAACTGACTGTTGTATGGAGGATGCTTCATCAGTGATGTTAATTCATCAGGGAACACCACAACACCATCGAACTGCTTCACATACTCTTCGTCGGGGAACCATCTATGACCGTTGCGTTGAGAACTAAAAGGAACAATTTTCTTATTAATTAAATGATGAAAGAACCTAATAATAATACCTTATAATTAATTACTTATAGAAACTACTTTTGTTACAAGAAATCACATTATTATATTTGATCATTTGCAATGCTAAAACTGAAAAAAAAAATGTAAGTGAAAGAAGGCTTGAAAAAGACGAATATTACAGAGTATTGCGTGAAAACGATTAATGCAATGGATCTATATAAATTTAAATGTTTTTAAAATAAGCAAACTTCATATGCTTAGTGTTTTAAAGATTTGTCGCAAATCACTCTAACCTTACGATTAATAAGTAATTTTATCATCACCCTGACTTGTTTTAAATCGTAACAATATGAAAAACATCACTATTGACGCCTACAAATAAAGCAAAATAAATATTTGTAACCTAAAAATGTTACATAATTATTTAATTGATTAAGTTCCCCTTTCTATTTTTTTTCGGTATACTTTATTCAAGAACACTTACTTCACATTGTAAATTGCAGGCAAATTTTGTAAAAGCGCTTTTGTTTGGCCAAAATTTGACGATTTTCGCAACAAAACATTCAATATAGAGGCCATCTTTTTGGGGACTAGGTTCCATTTCACGTGCCACGTACTTTAATGTAACTGTCAAAATGCACATTAATATTTCATCGCAAGTTTTATCCATTGATTATTCACTTCAATATTATTGAAAACTTAGAGTTTAAAAAAGAAAAGATTTATGGATCTCTGGCATAACATGAAACTGTTATTTTAAATACTACTTCTATGAATACTAAATATGTATGCGTAAAATGAAACAATCTATCAGCTTTTTTTTTAATGTAGACATATCATCAATAGAGGTGTAAAGAAACGAATAAAAGAGTACTCGTTATCGTTACAATAACAATGAGAAAGTATTTAAAAAAATAAAAATAAGTTCTTGTAAACAAACTAGATGGATTTTTTTATTATAATATTTACAAAAGTTCTGAAAGCAATAACAACTCTCTTAAAAATCGCTGCGGTGATGTCATGTGCGTCAAGTCGTTACGTTCCCTCATATAAAATTGAGCGACGAAGCGATGGCTGGCTCATGCGCCAAGCATGCAAAGGGTGCTGCCAGGCGGGGGTGAGTCTGCACTTGCCCTTGCTAAGTTTCTTGCCGTTTCTTCTTAGTACAAGGTCTCCCGCCATAGTTTTGCAAACTGTTGAATAAATAACTTAAACTTACGATTTAAATAAATTCAAACTAATTTGAAAGTTAGACATTATAAGAAACACGAAATGATGCCATATTTGTTAAAATTCGATACTCAATTTACTTTTATTACATCAGAAACAAAATTTGAATGAATATCATACACAAATATCCAAACATCGCTAGTGACATCGAGTTTGATTTCAAGAACTAATGTTTATTTTTTAAATATTTACTCATTACCATTTAGATCAAAGAGTATTATTATATTTAGATTTAGATCCTTCAATGAGGAAGTATTTAAAAATAAAAATTAGTTCTTGAAATCATACTAGATGTCACTCGCGATGTTTGGATTCAATCTATTATTAACAATATTATTGTAAGAACCAAAAAGCACATACCCACCGTATGAATTAACTTAACACATGGCTCGACGTCCGCGTATTGAAATTTAAAGTTATAACCTTGCTGTTCGTTTAAAACAGACGTTTCTTTTTGATTGCTGAATGTTTATTAAGATGGTTAAATTATGAATATAAGATTTAATAACTGATCATAGTTTTTTAAAGTGTTAATTTCGAAAGCACAAGTTATTTGCACGTTACACTTTGTACAAACGTCATTTTAACCAGAAGTCGTGTTATTTTGTACGAATAGCTAGTATATTTGATACATATAAGTATATAGATAATAAACGGATTTTTTATTATAATTATCGTTTTTATTACTTTTGTTTTGTTGTTGTGAGTTCAACAAACAACTAATAGCAATACAACTATACTCAATTCATTATAGCATTAGACAGAAGTTAAATAAGGTTCTTTTTATGGTATACTTTGTGACAAAATATTAACAATCATGTTACTCTTAAGACTGACGGCTTATTTGCTACATATCCACTTAAATACCAGCTGCTATACTTAACAGTTGTCGTTTAAGTTATCTGTTTAACGAAATTATGAGTATTTGACTAACTTAAAAGATTTAATAACTTTTACAATAAAAAGTGTTCTTAAAAAACCTAGAGAAATCTTAAAAAACCTAGAGAAGCAAGGTTGGATAGTCTCGACACGATTGTCATGTCACTATACCTCTTCCAAATTTAAAACGTTGCTTAATCCCTTCAAACGTTTCGGTAGTACAGTTTTTTAATTTTGTCAGATTATGATGTAGGTATTCATAATAGTCAAAATACATAATCTGGGATTCTCATTAATTGTGAATGTTATTGCCTTTCTTATTGTTTTACCGTATTCCGTGATTGAATTGTTATTGTATAATTGTTGTTTTATTATAGTTGTTATCTTTTTGAAGTTTAGTTTTGCTAAATATGGACGATTGCGGTGCTGGTCCGAATGGCCTACAACAATTACCTCTGACATTTCAGGAAGTTTATCCAATATGTTAATCAATAATCTAATAATCTGAATCTGAATAAATGTTATAAAAGTAATAATGAAAATTTCACTTCGTTTACTTTTCTTTCCTTGGCATAAATATAAAAAAATTCTGTTCTAGTGAATACACTTACAATTAGAATTTATCTAAACAACAGATAGATAGTTATAGTTCCAAATTAGCTTGGGAGTAAAAGATGAATTTAGAAAATTCTAGCCTCATCGCAAAAGAAAATGGAAAATTGTCTGACTTTTTCAGACTACCTAACGTTCAAAGTTTCAACAAAACTATTACATATATTAATAAAATTTATCTTCAAAATAAAATGTTCTGCACTGCTGCTTCTGTGATCCTCTTTTTTCTAATGTTATAATGAATGGAGTATAATTTACCTATTTGTTATTGTTTTCAGAACTTGTTAAATATTATAATGAAAAATTCGTTAACCTACTATGGCATAAGTATATTTAGGTAATATTATTGTATACCGTAGTTAAATGCCGCTTTTAATTATATCACAACATTAAATCAATTGATGTCCATAAATTTTAAAAAAAACCTCTGTGCTCACTTCCATTATCCACTATACAAATAAAAAAAATATTCAAAGATTACTTTGTATTAATCGAGTCGTGTTTGAAAATCGCGAACGAATTAAATTTTAACTCGATATTAATCCGAGATATCGGATCCATAACAACACTGACAATTCTATTCTCTTTGGTTGGCTGTATGGATGTTTCCAAAGCTGTTATTAAATAAACAAAAAAAAATCTCTTTGGTTTAACGTCATGAATTGACGTTTAGAGCCAACAATTGGTGCTGTCATCTAGTGACAAATTTTTGTAGTCTCTTTTTTTTTAAATATTTCCTCATTTGTGCTCCCATTTATGACATTAAATTTGAAGTTTCTTTATTTTTTAAATACTTCCTCATTACTCGTTATTTTCGTATCGTTACTTCTGATCCCTTAGACAGAATATGCTATGTTAGAGCAACGAATCGAATAGTATTCTAAAACGCGTTAATGACGATTTTTTTGAAAAATGTGTCTCAAAAAATGTCTGTGGGGGTAAATTTAGAACCAGACCAATTGAAAGAATAATACAAATGTATCAATGTGGAACATAATTAAAGGAGTTTGATAAGAAAACGAAACCTAACATTAAAAAATGTTTACCGCAAAACGATAATAACCATAATTAACTAATAATATTATAGCTGATTTCAATATTTGTATTATTTTTATAGGAACTTTCATTGGGCAACAGTTAGGAATCACTGATCTAAAGGAAACACCGGAATATTTTATAATCAATTAATTTACATAATTTATTCATCTTCGGTGATTTCAGGGAGATCTCTGTCAGATTCCTGATCGAAATAATTTTCAGGGATCACGTAATTTTCCGGCGGCCTCATAGGACCGAAGACTCTCTTTTCGCTACTACAGTCTCTTTCATCCTTTTGTGATTCCATATCTTCGTCCTTTTCTTTTGGTGCTCTTAATTTTTCCTTTCTTATCTCTTGCTCCTGACGAGGATTACTGCTGGCCTCTTCAATTCCAGTGTCCTTATCTGTAGTATCTTCATCTGAATCCATTTCTTCAACAAATTCTTCATCATCTTTTTTGATTTCCTTTACTAATTTAGGTTTTTTCACATCATCTTTTAATCGTATCCTGTAATTAAAATGTACTCAACATATAAAATGGTTCCTTTCTAGAATATCCGAACGCTGATCGTTAGAGATAGTTGAAATAGAAAAAAAAACATTCGCGAAATCACAAAGATATTCATATATTTCACCTTTTTCCATAGACAACTGAGTTTATGCCCATTTTGACCGCCATCTTGGATTCGTCTTTCTTGATCAACGGCGGTAAGTGTGCGGGCCTCGCCAGCTCTGCTAGCCTCTGCGTCTTACTTAGTTCCGTTTTCAATTTCTGTATTGACATCTGTAACGAAAAATACAATTATTCAACATACCGTCACATTGAATGAGGAAGTATTTAAAAAAAAGTTGTTCTCGAAATCAAACTAGATGTCGCTACGGTACGTTCTTGATTTCTCCATGACAACCTTTCCGGTTTACTTTCAAGTTAAAAAGTAAAATAGGTTTCAAAACAATAAACGACTCCTATTTTATTTTTACTTTTTCGTATTTGTATTGATATCTAAGTTTGGAACTTTTTAAATTTCAGTTTTTTAATGTGTTAGTTAAAAGAAACGGAAATGACTGTCTTTGATCCATTCGTTTCCTGCAAAAATCAACTTTTACTAGAGTCGCCATCTACTGGAGGTGGTTTTTAAGTGCTTTCGTTTTTCTTTATTACTTCCTCATTAGAACGTTTTTTCAAGTTTCTTTAAATTTTTGTTATAAAAGTTGCGGAATCAGTAAAAGAAATGGATGTCAGAATACATATGGAACTTCTGCATTTATGGAATAAGAAGCAGATGTCTGTTGCATCACTAATTTCGAGTAATGAACACAATATTAAAATATGTGCATTGATTACAATTATTGACCTGTATATCGCACCCATGCTGGTAAAACCGGTTAACTCATTTTTTTTTACAAAATTAAAACCATTGTTTAGTAAAAAAAAGCAATCTGCAATCACTGGTGAAACCCATTACGGTTTCAAAAAATTATCCATTAACAAGTTTTACAAGTCTGGGTGCGATATTTGTAAATTCTGAAAATTACCTTAGATTTGGATATCTCCGCTTTCTGTGCCATACTCTGTCCTTGTTTCCCTAAGGAGCTCATGAACGCATCAAGTGCGTCCGAATCGGCATCTGGTTGCGTGTCATGTTTGTGAGCACTTCTTAACCTTTCGAGACATTTCTCTTCTGTGGCTATTTTTGCCTCTATCTCTGTGATTTGCTTAAGCTGTGGTATTGAACACAAATTAATGAACAAGCCTAAGAATAAAGCAATGTTGGCAGTATATTTAAATTAAATAATGTTTTGACTGGAAGTCGTAAGTAGTGTCAAAAATTAAAAATTAAGTTGTAATTTATAATTTGTGGATTAAAAACCGAAAGACGTTGTTGGAGTTTCGTGTGACGTCACTCTTCAATAATCTTAACGACAATGTCTTTGATGCAAATACAACTGGTACTTATGTTTATTGAAATGTGATGTCACAGCTCGAAATGTCACATGTTAATTTTTTTAAATATATGTATTTTTTAATGACACTTTGGATAAAATAAAATTTACAATATAATTTTATACTGGTTGAATATGATCATATGATAGTTTTAAAATACTTTTTTGTTTTCAAACAAGCAAGTAGTAGACTTACTAGGTCATCATAAGTCAATGGTTTGTCCTTTGCAGAATTTTCCACGGCACCATGTTTCACCATTCGTTGTTGCCTTTTCTTCTCGACGCTGCCCGTTCGGTCCAGGAATGTGTCCTCATCGGAGTCGTAATAATCGTCAGCGCTCCAATCACGCTGTTTCCTGCGACGGGACTCTATGAATTGAATAATTAACAAAATTGACAGTTCCAAACAGTCTGATGTGTTGAAGTTATTGCAAGTAAGAAAGTGATCAAGATTTTAGTTACAATTGTAATATGTAATATCAAATATTAACAAATTCAGACACTTTAATCTTCTAGTTTTATTTATGGTAGACTCACCATGTTTAGCTTGCCTCAGCAGTCCTGCCCTATCCAATATCCTGCACGCTTCCAAAGCGCAAGCAATAACAGCCTCCTTTTTCTTACCACGATGGATCACTTCCGCTTTCACCGGGTTCCCTCTAGCATCGTCTATAGGTAACTCTACCCTAAAATAAAAGAAATTTATTACACAAAGAATTAATAAATTAAATAATATATATTTTAAATATGTTTCAGTTGACTGTTTAAAATAATTGTTTATTTGCTTGGTATATAGCCCTTTAACTTTGTTGGTGAACTTTTTTGAAATTTTGCTCTTATTTTGGGAATAATTAAAGCAATTAATAATTACTGGTCAATGAATGTCAGTGCTTTAAAATCGGAGCTGAGAAAAAGAAGTGTAAAATTAGTAGTAGGGATGAAAAGAGCTAAATCAGAGGTTAGTGTTTATTAGTTATGTTTTTAATAAAATGGTTTAATTATTTAATATCGCTGCTTTTTATTGTGGTGCATAAACGATTGTTTCATAGTTGGTCATTACTGCATTAAACTCTGATATAAGCCATGTTCAGCAACTTTTATCATTAAATAACTTTCTTCTAGGCTACCGTTAAGAACTTGACCAAATTATATAAAATATGATATCAAAGAATTAAAATAAAATATTTGTTATTTGTATTATAAATACATATTTATTTAAAATAATCTGAATATTTTTTCCTACTACGACTACAATATAAATGACGTGATTCTTTGCTCAGTGTGTTAGTCAACCAGAGAATCGTAACAGAGAGCTTTTGAATCGTGGTGCAATAGTCAAACAAAGAAATAAGTGATTTTAATAGGGATTATATGAACCAAAATTTTATTGTATTTTGTAGGTAAGTTGTGATAGCATCTTTGATTTAAACAAAGCATGTCTGTGCCTACTATAGAAATCTTAGGATGCAACTTATACTTTTAAAATCCTTCCTTTTGAATCCCTATCTATGAAAAAAAAACCGCATCAAAATCTGTTGAGTAGTTTTAAAGATTAAGGCATACATAAGGATATAGGGACAGAGTAACTGACATAGATACTGCCAGATTAGTATACTTCAGTTACTTTCATAGTGTTATGTCGTACGGTATCCTATTGTGGGGAAATGCTGCCGACATACAAACAATTTTTGTGCTTCAGAAAAGAGCAATTCGATCAATTTATAATCTTAGGATTAGGGACTCTTTTAAGGGAGAAATTTAAGGAAATAGACATTATGACTGTTGCTTCTCAATACATATACGAGAACTTAATGTACGTTCGTAAAAATATTAGTTAGTTTTCTATAAAAAGTGATGTACACAATTTTAATACAAGAAATAAAAATAAATTAACGGTGCCTGTCACTAGACTGCAAAAAGTTAATAACTCATTCAAGGGTCTTTGTGTGTGCTTCTACAATAAGATCCCAAGCAAAATACAACAACTAGATATCATGCAGTTTAAATCTACTATTAAAAAAGCTTATTATAAGGTATCCGATTATATAACAGGTAAGAACGCTTGGACTTGAGATGATCCAGCAACTGGATAGGTTATTACTTCTAAACTCATTATCTTGTTTCCATTATTATTAAATGATAATGTTATTATTATAAGACCATAGTTTTTTTTTTCTATCTCTGTTTATAATGTATTGATCTGGTAATGACATGGTTTTTGTAAATTTCATTACTCTTATTAGAGCTGGTGAGTTTCTTGCTTGTTCTTCTTATCAGCCAAAAGACGTCCTGAACGAGTGGTAGGGAAAAAATGTTGGACGATTCAAAAGTACTTTTAAGAAGTCTATTTGAATAAAGATTATTTTGACTTTGACTTTGTAAGCAAGCCTAATTTTTATACTATGTAGTGATAAGCAATAAATTTAATTTTTACCTGCATATGAATTGTCCTACACCCCTCTCCTCACAATCATAATTGAGATCATGACCTTCCCTCTCAAAATAACCTCTTAATGTTTTCTTTGGATCGTCCAGATACAATTCTTCATTGGCAGTAGAAGCGTAAGGGTTTTCTGCTAAATCTGGTTCTTCTTCGGCATCTTCACCTGAAATAAAATAATTAAATATGAAAGGAGTTATTAATGTCAAGGAAACAAAAGATGCATCTGAAGACCAGGGCTGGATCTAGGGACGGCAAAAGGGGACATTTGCCCTGGGCGCCCCATAATAAAGAGTGTGCATTTGAAATAAAAGAGCAATTCGTACACTGCAATAATATGGTAATATAAAATCATTAGGGCATTATATAAAGGTTCTGCCCCAGTTGGAAAAAATATAAATCCGGGCCTGAGAAACCCTTGGGAAAGTGGCAAAACAAAGTCACTAACCACTGCCCATGCTAGTGTGCTCTCTAATACTTATTTATATATTTTCTTTTCACTGTTTTAATTCAACAAGCGGCTCCAAACTCACCCATTCCCCAATCAATGCCCTGTTCCTCCCTCTTTCTTTCCTCTTCTAGTCTGTCCTTCTCCCTTCTTTCTTTGTCTTCTTCTATGATTCTTTTCCTTTCGAGCTTCATGTTCAGAGCTCTTTGCTTTATTTCTGTTACAGACAACTCTGATTCACCTTCGCAGTCAAAGTCTGGCCCCTTAGAACAATAACAATAGATACATAAAGTTATAGTTACTATACTTGTAAAAGTGGGTCGTACGCCAGTTTCAAGATGTCGCCACCGCCAAGGTTTTCGATTCGAGTCCTGGCCAGAGGGCCTACTCTGTTTATCCAAGAACGAAATCTCGGTAAATCCGAAAGAGTCGTAATAATATTTTTAAAATCATATCCATGAAGATTGTTTATTTATCAGTTACTTGATGAATTATCGATTAATGCTTTCCTTGAAGTCTTATTAGCGTTTCGAATACAGATAGAAAAAAAAAAACGTTTTTGAAGAAACAGAGGTCTACTGGTCAATATGAAAAATGAGTTTTTAAATATTGTCTCTGGTCTGGACACCTTTGGAACTGGTGATATATCAGTGCTTTAGCTACTTAATTAGAGATTTGTGCAATGTATGCGATGTTGTCTATAATATTTATTTATAATATCAGAGTGAGATATAATTTCTACTATGTAATAGAAAAAGGAAGAAACCATGACAAATGTTATATGTATGTAGAGAGTTGCAAAGCTAATAAATTTATGGAACATTCTTTTTTTTAAATTTGTATTTGGGAAAAATTGGCAGACCCCAAATAAACAACTAGTACACAAATAATATCGAAAAAAATATTTCTTATGACTTTAACATATAATGAGAAATGAGATCCACATACAAGACACATACCACCATAATATAAGTTCTTGAGCTGCTCCCAAACTTGATCTGATGACCAACTCGTACCCTTGTGTAGTGATTGGACTTTAACCGTTCTTTATTGAGAAACGTTCCATGGGTGCTGCCTAAATCGTGGAGGTACCAACCGCATGAAGGCTCTCCTTCTTCGGCAAATGCTTTATATTGAAGAACACAGTGATACCTGAACAACATAATGATTACTGTAATGCATGGAATATATTATGTTGTTAAGATGTTAGAGTAAAATGTAGAGGTCCTTTAATGCTGCACCTTTAGTTTTATTATTTAATCCAGGTATGAGCAATCTTGGACATGTTGTGGGCCAAACTTTAGTGTGCAAATACATTCACAGGCTGCGTTTTAAAGTAGTACATTTTAAAGTAGTGTTGAAGTGGACATAATTTTTTGCAATAGATATCAGACATGAAATAATAAGACAATGTCATCATAATTAGGTTTTTCAAAATGTCTTGTGGGACAGCTGTTGCCCACCATGGGTTTATCATTATGTTATTATTGACTGTAGTTAAGATATATCAAAAAGTAGTGACAATGTTTTATTGCTCTTATATTTATATGTCGTTCCTTAACAAAATCTCATTTTTACCACTTAGTTGAGTGGTAATTAACTGTTCTAGTCAATTTTGTATTCAATTACTTGCCTAATCTACATATAACCATGTCATTGAATGCAATAAAATATCTATTTGCACTCAGTGTCAAGCTAATTCGTAAACATAATTTAATATTAATAAAGATACAAAATGTTTGGGAATGTATATCAACCTGGATATTGTAGGATGAGCCATCATGATATCGCAATTAGCAAGTCTTCCGAAAGCATAATATGGTTTTCTAGTCAAATCAATGTTTTCAACTATCATGCCAGATTTCAACACTTCCAAACTGTAATCTGAACCTGAAATATTGAAAAAGAATTAATATTGTCTTACATGTGTCAGTATCAAGTAGCAAGGACATGAAGGTATAAAACTTTCACAAATGTGGGATCTTACTTAATGATAGGGAACATGGACTGTGAGGCACTCATTTGAAGTTATTAGTTTGGTAAATAGATGAAAACAAATAAAAAACTTGTAAAATCGCGAGAATACTGTAATTATTGAAATCAGAGAGTTATTTTCTTGGAACCACCAACATAACAATATATGGTTTAGCATGATAATTCAGCTACAATAAAAAATGAGATAGCAAAACATATAGAGTGAACAACACATAGAATTTACAAAAAATGAGCTGGAGAAGGCCTATGCCAGGATGCATGCCATGCTCAGACAGTTAAGTTCTCTGTAACTTCGGTGAAAGTTGTTTGGCCACTTATCAGTTGCTAATTAACATTTCATTGTATTTTATTTTTCCAATTAATTATTCACCACTTATCCTACAATTTCGTTTAATATACCAACCTACCCATTATTAACAGTATGTATGGTGTGCTTCTTATTATGACACTTCGCCAACTTTCAAGTAGCAAAATGTTATAGTCATTGTTTTTAGCAATAAATTATAATATTGTGAAGTTACTCAACATTTTGTTATTATAATTACTTGATACCTACGAAAGTATTAAAATCTTAATATTTAATATTGATGTGAATGATAGCATTAATATCTTTATAATTTCATTACATTATCATAGTTTTACTTTAAAGTAATCATCTTAAAAACATACCATCTGGGCATATTCCAGACCATTTTGGCTCTTTGTATGGTATCGGCGCTAATAATTCCTTGTTAGAAATTGCAGGTGATGCATGTTTCTGTTCGTCGGATTTTGTCCCAGGTTCATTAGTTTTGAAAGCATTTTTATCTTCTGTAACCGTTACCGAGTCCTGCAAAACTTTCTTAGGAAGCTTTCCAATGCGTCCAAATAGTACGGGTTTCTTAAATTCTATTTGTGGCTCTTCCTTTGGAGCATCATCAGATTTTGTAGACTCTTCCATTCTTTTAGTTACTTTGATATAGTGTAAAATTTATTTATTACGAACGATAAATGGAAGGAGAAAAGTAACAACTTTCTAGTGTTACAATATTAAGATATATTTCGTTATTTGTGCATTACAATGCACATAAAAAACACCAAACTAATTACAGGCTTAGTATTGGTAGGTATAAACTAATGTTTTCAGTGATTACTGATTATTTTTTTGGCATTTGGATTGTGTTTTTTAATAATTTAGCGATATTCGATATCAAATCGATATATGATGATAATCAAATTCTTAGCTCAAAATCGAAACAATAACACAACGATAACACAAACTTAGTTGGTATGATCAAAGAGTAGTATTATAATATAATGTATGATCATGTGTATGATCAACAATAGAGAGCAAAGTGTGAGTGCCAATGACGAAGTTTACATTTTTTTCTATTTAAAATGAAAGAATAAGGATATTCAAAAAATACTGTAAAAATGTAATATAATTACATAAATAAAACGTTATTTCTTCTATTAATATTGTATTGTCCGAATATATTAAAATACAAATTTAAAAAACCCTAATAAAATATTGTTAAATAAGGAAAAGAATAAATCTTAAAGCGTTTAACAGAACGCTTCTACTTATAAAGTCTCAATATATAGATCCTCACCACAAAACAGACAAAAAAGTTATCTACTAACTAATAGTTTCGTACCGTGGCGATATCTAGTTAGATTTCGGAAACTATATTTTTTTTTAAATACTTCCTCATTGTAGGAATCCAAAAGACTCATTTTCGTTGGTCTATAGGGTCTACATGCGGAGATCGGAAGATTTCTGTGCTTATTTTTCAAATACTTCATTTTAAAGTTTACCAACATGACTGCGATTAAACTTACAATATTAAAAGTTGATATATATGAAAAAATAAGTATAGAAAATCTATACTTTCAAATATCACTTTTGATTATTAATAAATGAACTCTTTGCAAATGTAAGAAGATTGTATATTATTTATATCTTAATATTTTCTGCTGTAAGTAACTGAGATATGGAAATATTATAATAAAAAAAAAATTACAAGAATAAATACCACACTTTGAAACATTTCTGTCAATTCTCATGTGACGAAACGATGGCATCAAACTAGATTAAAAGCGAAAAGTTTTTGATTCTTTAGATATAATTTATCTAGAAATGGAAATAGACAGTTCACATTCTTTTTTCATCTTAAAAAAAATGTACTGTATACTGATCACCTTGATTACAACTTTGTGATATGTAAAACTAAACTATTCATAAATCAGAAAGAAAATTGGAGGAAATCAGAGTGCCCCATTCCTTGCCATCACATTTCATTAACAATTTAGTTGAAACAATTTTTGATCAAAATGTTTTAACACTCCTAACTGTATATTTTATTAGGTGAACTCTTATTATGTCTGTAATATCTCACAACTTTTTCAAAAGTTGGTAAATAGGTTGGTATATATACAAATGATATGGCAAATGTTTTGCAAAGTGTAAAAATATTGGAGTGTACATTTTTTATCTAATTTTTGTTACAAAATATTATATAGCATTACCAATGCAAAATCGATCAAACCAATGACCTAAAGAATTGGATTATGTTACGTTGCATTTATTTTTAGATACTATATTTTAGTTTCAATATAATCGATTAGTTTATAAAAACGACATCCCTATCCTCACTGACGTTATTTGTTTTTTTTTATTCTAAACAAAAGGATCAGTCATTTACATCTACGTAAATATTTATAATTAAAATTAATAATGTAAAGACAGTGGTTTTCAATTTAAATAATTCATTAGAATTTTAGAACCAATCGTAATATTTAAAAGCATAGCTTTGTTAGATAACTATAATTAAATATATATTTTTTATAGTTTGTTTTTGTCTATATTAATTTTTGGAACTGCTTTCTACAAAACGAATAGCTGCCTCACATTTTTATGCGAACATTTTTTTACTTTTGATTTATAATTTTGATAAAAAATCTTGAAAACTCAAAAATAAACAAAGTTCTATGTGGCTGCATGGTGTTGGTCCTTCATCCCTGTTTCATGTTCATTCTTCAATCAAATGAATGAACGAATCAATCAAATCAATCAATTCCAAAACCAAGAAAGAGGGGTATTGTCATTGTCAAATGGCGAGCGAATACAAAACGGTTAAATTTACATCGATGAAAAATATAATTTATTATATAGATATGAACATTTCAAATTAAATCACTCAGGTTAATGGTTTTTATGCGACAAGTTTTATTTGTAGTGAGTGTTATATTACAGAAACCATATTGAGTCGGCTGACGCGCAAGAACATAGATTTGACTTTATTTACCTTATAACATAGTGCTTATCGTAATACTACCTGTGCGAAGTGATTTCACCGCAGTGCTGGCGTTTTAGAATACGTAACTTCCCTTTGGTAAGTGAATCTGTATGTATTCAATTTATTGAATTTATTTTGCATCACGATCTGTTGCGGCAAGGTAATTTTCAGTGATTACAATCGCGGAAAAGTGAAAGTTATTCGTTATTATCTTAAAAGCACAGATATGTTCAATCACGATTTATCTTACAGTATGTTTCGTTTGAAAGTTTTATTTCACAACTTTTGAAGAATATTATACTATTTATGACATGCGTGAGGAATCGCCCCTCCGCTCTTAAACATTAAAAATATTTCGGTATTAAAAGTTCAAGGTTATCGTGCCCAATTTGGCTTGAATTATTTTATATATACCTACCAATTTGCATATTTCAATATCCATTAAAATTGTAGACAACATCAAAGTATTTTACATACTTTTACAATTTAGAATAACATAATAAAATTAAACCTTGTAGAGATTAATGTAAATGTAAAAAAATAATTATAACAATGTAAATATGAAATAAGGTAGTGTGTCTTTCTACAGAGTCAATTTCAATAAACCATAATGAATTGCGTTGAGTGAATATTTTCACAAGGGTGACAAATTGTCTGTAAAAAGTCTGAATGAATTTTTCTGAATTGCATTCCTTTTTAAAACGCAATGGGGAATGTAAATGCAAAATGAACACTAATTATTACTAATAATGGATTTTCATATAAACTTTTGCCCTGTTAGTAGGATTTTAATAAACTTTCAAAGTGTAATTTAAAGATTTATTTTAGGTTATATATCAAAATTATTTGCTGTGTTTTTTTTGTTCGTTTTAAACACAAGGAAAACAATAGTTACAATTATTAACTTAGTTCATCATATTTTTATATAAAATATTACTTAAGAAGCAACTCATATCTTTAAACTAGAATCTTTAAACCTATTGATGACTGTATAGCTCTCTTCAGCATTTTATCTTAAAGTATTAATAAATTGTGGTTATCGAATAATACATAATAATAAGCATTATATATAATTAATTAACAATATATTAATTTATGTAGGTTCAGTACATAAACTGTAGTTATACTGTACTTTGTGTTGAGATTCAACATTGTTACACATTTTGTGTTCATGCATAAAATATGTACCCATCTTCATTGTTTTAATTTATAATTTTGTAATATTTAATTATCATGATTTTATTTTGATTTATGATAAAGAAAATCAGAAGGTTTAGAATATTAAGAATGGCTTACCCATCACTTATCTATTGTCATTATAGTTATCATAATAATGATAAATAATAAGACTTTATTTATCAATTTTGCATTGATAAATAAAGTTGAACATTGATATGAAAATAGACCAATGTTGTTTGCATATTAATGCAAATGTATGATATTCTTACACTATATGTCTTGATTTTTTTAGTTTTTTATTTTGTTTCACTCAAAATTTCTGTTCATTTATTAAAACAACTTTCAAAGAGTATAATTGTAAGTATGTTCAATAGGTTTTTAGATATTTGAATCCTTTCCAGGTACAGTAGACTGGTGTCTGACCACCATTCAACTGGTTTTTCTATAAAACATTGTGGATTTTGTTTTATAAATGTAGGAATTCATAAGTGCTTTGAAAAAATTAGAATGTCTAGGAATTTTAGTATTTTTTTTTATGCTTATGTGAGACCTCACTGCTATTGGTATCTATGATAATGGTGACAGTCTTACACTAGCAAACATTTCCCACTCTGTTCTTTTTTCAGCAAGTTTCTTTCTTAAGACTCGAATTACTTGGTGATATGTTCAATATTAGGTTAAAAGAAAACTTTAATTTTTGTATTTGGTCTTAATTAGCAATCATAACTTCATTTTAGAATTCTAGTAATTTAAGTGTTTCAACCGGTAATAATCAAGGAAATACTATCTGACCAAACTATAGGTAATTGAATGAGACACAATCTTAACTATGCAATTATTGACAATATGCCATCTTCTTTAGGGTTGCCAATTCTTTGCAAAATATAATGAGGTTATATTACATAATGTAATAATAACATTATGTCATATAATTCTGCAACACATTTTAAATAGTTTTTCCTATGTGAATTACCCAGATACTTGTTAAAATCAGTGATTTTTAAACATTATTATTATGTATAATCTGTTTTACATCTTTTTACTACCTACTTTTACAGCCTCATTACTGAAATGAGAAGCACAAATAATTTTATAAAGTACTAAAATATTTCTTTACTGTAGAATCAGTATTTCCTATAAGTGGAAATTGACCTTCTTTATATATATAATAAATATTCTATAGTTTTACCTAGCTGTAAGTTTTCCAAAGATATTGAAACTAAAATAATATATTTGTTAGACAAATATTAGTATAAATACCATAGGACTAAGAATCCTTATTTGATAGCTAGCCTTATATAATGGATCCGAAACAATGCAGTAACCAGAACACTCGGAACAGACCTTTAGTTTGTTCTCTTCTTTGACCAGAATCGAACCTGGGCCGTAAGAGATCGGCTACAGAGGTCGACAGCTGCAGTATGGCAGTCCTAGTTCCGTCTGTTGGATAGAAGTCGTGATCCTAACCACATTGTGAATGTCAACGTTTTGCGTGTTCAATGTAATTATTGTTTCTTGAACATACCTCCACGTATGTAATTGTTTTTTAAACTTCCACACACACCATCTCTAAAATTATATAATAATAGCGCGTCATAACTCGGATAAATGATGTTTAATTAAATCCTGCGTCTTACTAATACGTATTTATACTAAGATCAGCGATCTATGGTCAATACGACAAAATAACTTGAGTCTCATATTAATTAATTGACAATGTTGATATGCTAGCCAGGCTTCCATGTGTGTGACCTCTAATAAGAGAACAGTTACTTAAAAGCGCAAATTCGCGCACGTAAAGTTACCAGAAAAGGCCTGATTTCCATTGAAAAATCCTGAGGTTTTGTTACAGTTTGAGATTTTTCTCTCAAACGTACTTACAATTAAAAAAAGTTAAATTATTACCATTTTTATAATTTTTACCGGGAGATCTCGCTCACTCGTTGCTCATCGCACTCATAGCCGTCGGGCGGCATTCAATCACTATAAGTGGTAAAAATGTTGCAGTTTCTTTAAACACAGATATCAAAAATTGAATAAACTTTTATTAACGTCTTAATTATTTTAGTCTTAAATTGTATTGTTTAGTTGTTTTAAATTGTATAACTATACAGACAAAATAAACAAAAAAATAAATACTAATAAATCACATTGAACAAAAAGTGAAATAAAAAAATAAAATATTTATAAATCCTTAAAAATCCAATTTGTCACTGGCATTCTGAAATGGAACTCGAACCCATGACCTTTCACAATCCAAGCGACTGCTCTAACCAGCTATCTAGGACCTAACAGGACTGACGAATTTTTCAAGCACTTGTTACTTTTTCGCTACCACAGCGCGTATTTTCATTAATGTTCAGGCAATCCATCCAAACAGCCGAAAGAAATATTTCTACAAAAATTTAAACTTTCGATAAAGATGAAAGTTTGGTCTTATTATTTGTTATTGAAAGTTTGTTCAATTTTCTATTCACAATGCTATACTGAAAAATATTCTTATTGAAAAATGCTTAAAAAATCCACATTGTCCCTGGCACTCTTAAATGGCACTCGAACCCATGACCTTTCGCAATTCATGGGTTCGAGTATTATTAGTAAAAAGAGGCTTTTATTTTTTTTTGTTTCTGTTGGTACACTCTAGACAATTTTTTCTATCAAAAACCATATTTGATAATTATTTAAAGTACAAAAAGAATTATTTAAAATTATTTATTTTTTTATTTAATTATCAAGGTATATTTATTGTGATAATTATAACTGTTAAAGATAACTTTAACATGTACTACATTCCAAAAATCCGGTCGCAATCCTGAGAAAAGTCTAAAAATCCTGAGTTATGGTAACCGTACGCGCGCGGATCTGGGTCTTGATTTATGAGCTGGTTTAGACACTGTTGTCGGAGCGAAAAAATTGGTGCCATACAAGCTGTCACTGTCAGATATTAATCACTTTTATAATATGCATAGTTAATGTTAAAACTGAATGACGTTATTGTCGCACGCATTGCTGTTAAAAATTTGCGTGGGCATCTATAATGTAGGTTAGTAGGTCGTATGGTTTAAGAGTATAGAACTCTATATTAGCTCCGTCCACATTAAGGACTTTTTTAATAGGATCGCACGGTCTATAATGCCGCAAAGATACATAATATCATTACGACCAAGTTTGTGTATGAGCTGGGCGTTGACGATATTGTACCCTTGGTAACTGGGTTAAGATTTAATACACTGTACCGATGAAATTGTGATCGATTGTCATATCACTTACACTTCTAATTATAGTTGACTTTATCGTCACGTAACATAGAATATTTATTCTCTTGTCCTTAGGGTCTGTGCTAATCTAACGTAAGATCTGTCAAACATCTCACGTCACTGAAGTATGCGTTAGAACAAGACGGATTAATTGTCCAGTGTGCTCCACGTTGGATGTCTTATCATATACTTGTCAGTTCTTACGTTCTACTACCGACGATGTACCAGGAATCTACCATCAGATATCTACCAACTTTAAGACCTCTCTGTTTCGCTTCACACTGAAAAACTACTTCAATCATATGAATCAGCTTTGTCTTCTTGTTCCTTTATGGTTTTCTCATAATCGGACATAGATGGTTTTAATATACTGACCTATCAGCAGGAAAGAAGCTATATTGGTAGATGTGGCCATTAAAAAAATGTTGACTAACTCGAAAGTCTGCCTACGCTATTTGGTTACGTGAAATCTTTATCGGCCCTCGTATGGAGTAAAGAGACGAACCGGGACAGATAGTTTATTCCCTCCTAGTTTCGTTAAAGATACAAACCCTCTAAAAAAGGAGAAGAAGGAAAACCAAATAACTAATTTTATTTAAGAATCAGGTTTCCAATGTGTCATTCAATATAAATACTCGTACAAATTTTTAATAAATCTAT